GTACGAATGAAACTCGATCTCCGCATTGATCATCATCGTCGTCAACCATGTCTCTCATGATCTGTGCCCTCAATCTCGCTTTGTGCTTGGCGAATTCCAAGCTCACGGCGCGATCCTCATCATTGATAAACGCTTCCATGTCGACGTACTTCACCTTCCGCTCTTTGTCTTTCTTCGATCGTCTAGGACACGAAGAAATGAACTTCACGTCATTGGCAAATGTCACATTGCGCTTTATCACTTTTCGGGTCGACGTAGTCGTTCCCGAGGATTCGTCATCTGTTGAACAATCCGAATCAGCGTCGCTGTCAACGGATGGACAATCTGACTCCTCCTCATCTTGTCTTGAAGATCGCTTCCATATAGCCGGAGCTGATGGATTCCACCTTCGACACAATCTGATGGCGGGTGCCGCAGGGAGTGCCTTGGCCTTGGCATTCGGCTTCGCTGGAGCTGCCTTTGCTTCGGATTTAGCTTTAGCTTTTGCCTTTGGTTCCGGAGCTGGGGTAGCCGCTGCCTCATGCTTAAAAGGACAATTCTCTCTTGAGCACGAGCCTGTGTTCTTGAACGAGTAGCATATCCTGTTTCCTCCTCCTCCAGATGGACTTGGAGTTCTCGTCCTCGGCGTGAAGGGTCGCTCTGGAGTCTTCTTCGAGTGACTGAATGGACATTTATCGCCATTTCGACACCCTGCATCTGTGAAATGGAACTTGCAGCGGATTTGCTTCTTGCTTTTGTCACCTCTGTTGTCCGCTGACTCACTCCTCGTCTTCTTCTTGGGCTTTGGCTTGGTCTTCGCATGACTCTTCGCTTTGCTTTGAGGTAGTACAGGTGTTGCTTTATCCGGCTTGGTCGGCGAAGCCTTGACCTTTGCGGATGGAGCTGCGTTAGGCGTAGGTTTCTCAGGTACCTTGGCCGGTGCAGCAAGCAAATCCTTGCCCTCAAGCATCTGGCGCAAGCCAATTTGGGTCTGAGTGAGATTTGACTGTTCTCGTCTCCGCATGATAGTACGATCAATGATCTTCATCAGGTTGTCGTACGATCGGTCTTCATGATTGTAGGGCAAGTGTTCGTAATGCATGCCCAACTCCATCTTCATTGCGGGCGAGTCCTTGATCTTGCTGTACAAGCAATCACGGAGAGCCGTTTTGGATGGAATGTCCTCTGGTCTCATCCGTCCCAGAACTTCCAACCACGTCTGCTTGAACGTATGAAGCTTGTTGTCGCCTTGGTACTGGAGCTTCACCAAATACTCAAGAGTGATGATCATGTCAAGACGATCATGCGTTCGAAAACTTTCATACATCATCGCGATGACTTGTCGTCCTTTGATGATCTTCACGTCAGGCCTGCTGATGTAATCGTTGGCCTTCCGGTTCACCTCGAGGTACAGGTCAGCTGATTTGTCACCACCGGCACGTAGCATTGCGACCATGGCGATCCCCAATTTGACGTCTATGCTCTTGAACTTCTTGTGTCCTGAATCATTCAATGCTTCGACATCAGGGAATGGGTTGAACGCTGGTGCCAGCCATAACATCCAGTCCTCATGATGTGGGTCGGCTGATGCCCCTAAGACATTGGCCGTGCACACGGATCGCCAGTTGTTGAGATGAGTGAGAGTAGGCCATGGAGGAACGGTCACTTTGTCGGCTTCCCTCCTGGAAATTCTCACCTCTGTGACTTCAGGATCCGCGTCTCCATCAGGATCGCGCGCATGCGAACCAGGATCCGATTCAGGCTTGCCCCCTCCGCCTTTCTTCTTGTCATCATCATCATCAGGCGGATCTGGAGGATCATACCCCGTGCCGGTTCCTTCATCATGCTCGTCCTCTCTGTTCTCGTCGCCAGCTTCATCACCGTCATCGTCTCCATGGTTTTCCTGAATCGTTTCAGCGAATAATCTCCACTCATCACGATCAGCTCTGAGACGTTGTTCGGCTTTCTGAGCCTTGAGTACTTCACTTCGCAGATCAGCAATCTTCTCCTCGTACTGTTCCGCGATCTCTTTCTCGATCTGACGCCTCCTTGCCTCATGGATAGAATCGTCATAGGCGACAGGGGGACCAACGAGGTCGTTGCCCTTCGTAGATGCGGTAACACCGTCGATGCCAACAGGTCTTGAGGAGCTGGCCGATGCTGTGGACTTCGATCCCAACATCCCGCGATCCCCCAAGAGTTCGCGTAGCTGTCGATCACGCACGGCTGCCGCATCACTTTTCCCATGAAATCCGCTTGGTATGCCGAACAAAGTGGCTGCACTAGGCGTGGAACGCGCAAGTGCTGGGCTGCTAATACCTGGCACGTAGTGCTCGGGCATTGCATCCGCCACGATTGGCATTGAACTGCGGCCAGTGAAGAAGTTTCCACCGGTGAATGGAATTCCATCCATCACAAGGTTCTTGTCCTTGTCCGATTCCGAGAATGCGAACTTCTCTTTGGCGACTGGACTAACTTGACTTGGGGACCGTATTTCAGGGGATCGTACCTCATCTCCTACGGAAAATGCAGGCATTACTTCCTTTCCTACGTGCTCCCAGCCAGACTCAGTAGTCCTCGAAGACATGGGCATGCTCGAAGGTCGCGTCGCTCCTCCTTGATTGGAGTTTCGCGCTGCCTCCAATTCGCTGCGTGTCCTCGCTTGAAGATCTTCTTGTGCTTTGAGCGTTTTCCTGAGTTCACTCAGCTCGTCGTGCAAGGTAGGCAATGATCGCCTTGCATGATCTTCATTATGATGAAGTCGATCCTCTGCTTCTTGCATCCTCTTCACAGCCATTTTGCGGTACTCTTCCTCTTCACCAAGACGTTCGCGAAGCCGAAATCGTTCTTGTTCAATGGCTGCGCTGTTTCCAGCTAGCCCTTGGATCTCGTTCACAGCCCGCAACTCCTGGTTCTTGACCAAGTGGAATCGTTCCTGCATTGCTTGTAAGGCTTGTTCCGAACTTGCTGTGTTTGACCGGAGGACCAAGTTCTCTCTGGCGTGTTCATGAAGTTCATGAGTCAGACGCTCATACTCACGTGCCATAAGCTCACCATCGCCTTGCGCTCTTGCCTCCAACTGCACAAAGTTGGTGGCTGCCTCCGTGCGGAACACGTGTAGCTGTTGAGCTAACTCCTCGGCAACGGCATGTGCTTGACGTTGTTGAGCAGAGTTCTGCTCATCCATGCGAAACAAAGCTGTTTCATAGTCTCGCTTCATCTCCTGATTGACATTGTTGATGTGCCTCATGGCTAAGCATGCATGATCACGTTGTCGTTCCAATTCCTCAATGCGAATTCCAGATCCTTCATCTTCTTGTTGCATCTCCTTGATCTTGTCCATCAGGGTCTGGACGATTCCTTCGTATTCTTGCACCTGACTGCGATAGTACATCTGCTGTGCAAGGTTCGATGCTTCGAACTGTTGCGAAATCGTCAGTTCCTGGTAGGCATTCGGACCGTCAGCTATTGCAGGCGTAGCCACGGATGACGCATCACCACGCGCAGGAATCGTATCCAGAGTCATGTCCAGATCGTCAGCATCGCGTGGTTGATTGGTAACCATCCGATTCCAAGTCATGGACTTGTCACGCCCACGAGTAGCCGAAGTCCTCGATCGTGCTGAAGAGCTTCTCGAAGATGATGGTCTTGACTTCTTTTCCAAGGTCTTGACTCCTTTGTCCTTGGCCCTGGACGTAGTCCGAGGTGCCTGAAAACCAGACGCTTCGGCCCGTCGTTCTGCAGCCTTGCCCGTCCTCGAACCTGTGGATGTCGGACGCGAAGGCGTAGATGCTCTTGGTAGACTCTTTGCTTTCCCCTTGGGAACTGCCTTTGCAATGGCAAGCGCAGAAGATTGACCTTTGTCATCTTCCGTGGAGCTATCAACGGATTGCACCACTGTGTCGTCAGCTGTTGACTCACCAACGGCTGGCGCTGCCACATCGGCACCGAAAGTCATTGTCGTATCTTGGCTTGATCCTGAGTTCATTGTGGTCGTAGTAGATCAAGTAGTCGTTGCTGTAGAAAGGCAGAGCCGCGTACGGCTGATAACCTGCGTGGGGGATTGATCTCGACTTGGTTGCTGCTCTCCCCACCAGAGCTGTAATGAATGTAGGTGTGGCTGGCTAGCACTCTCCACAGACTGGACCCTGTCTCTCCCTCTTACTTCCACACGTGCGATCCTATGCAGGCAGAACCGGCGGCCGTTCCTTTTGCACTCACTGCCGGCGGCGGTTCGTCTGTGCAACGGGATAGCTCTGATTGCTCAGGATAGAAGACACATATAGCACTTAGCTATGGGCATTGACTTGAGCCAAACGTTGCGTTGGCGGTCACATAGAAAGGTAAAGATGAGGGATGCGTAGCATGCCCCCTAGAGTCGAGGGACGCGTAGCGTGCCCCCTTCTCTTGCACTTTACACGGTCTTGCTCACAGCTCTTATAGTGACACCTTAGAACTTGACAAGGCATCGCAGTCCGTTCGCAGTTTTTCTAGATATTTATAAGCAACGCTGGGGCTGCCAGGGTTAAGCGTCTCAGATACTAGTACCTCTAAAGTTTGAAGAACAAACCTGGATCCAACTGCCCTGATTATAAGTGGAGAGACTTGCCTAAGTTCCTGAGCAGCCCCCTTATGATAAGGGTGCCCGTGGTTCTTACTATTCGGTTTTGCTAGGGGGACCCGAAAACAAAACGGGCAAAAGAGTACTACACAGGAACCTAGCTGCTCAACAGACTGACTGGAAAACAAAGGTTTGCTTAAGATAGCTGGGTTTGCACTTCTAGATCCCTGCTATGTGCTCCCTAGTCCCGTTTGCAAACCCGCCTGCTGAAACTCTGGACCCTAAACCGTCTACCAATCAAAACACATAAGCGCTCATTAAACATCAGAGCATGCGCCTTGAAACCACTCTAAAGCCCTCAAGGCCTAAAGCCCTAAACCCTATAGATCCCTTAATGGAACCCCGAAGGATCCCTTTAAGAACTCTAAACCCCTTGAAACCACACACTGGGAGCTCAAGCAGGCTTTGGCAGGGTCGGCTCGTCGTCGTCCTCGTCAGACTCGCCTTTCTTAGGATGTAGGGTTTAGCGATTTAGGGTTAAGGGTTTAATGTTACCCTAGTCTTCCGGGGACAGTATTATTGGGTCCTTAAGGGTCGTAGGGCCTAACTAGAAGGTCCTTGGAAGCATAGCGTTTGCATCCAGGGCTTATGATAACATTAACATTATCGGGTATAGGCTAGTAGGGTTCTGGATTTGAGAGTTGGGGTTTAGGCCTTCCAGCTTGCATACTCTACTAAGCTCCTGCTTGTGTAGCCAGGGCATCAAAACTTGCAACGGATCTCCCGGGCATACACAGCGACTGGAATGAGATACTGTTCTCAGGCATCTATACTACAGGAGCCTTCCGTTTTCAAGTTCCAGTGCTACGAAGACGACAGAAGAAACCCTCAAAGTTGCACCCTAAAGCCTTGAACCCTAAACCTCAAACTCTAACACGTGCTGTCATTGAGTTTGGCTCGAAAGCAGCTATTGAGGAAGCCGAATGGGGCCCTATAGGCCTAGGTATTAGAAGGGGCCCCCACCCTGTAATAGTGACCATAAGGATTATATAGGATTATATTAGGTCCCTATTATATTCCTATTATACCACTTTTACAGGGTGGGGGCAGCTTCCCTAGTAGGTCCGTTTTAAATAAGGACCCAAAAGGCATTTTTATGACAACCACCCAACCCTAAACCCTAAAACCTAAACCCTAAACCCATAAGCCGTACCCATATCAAGCCGCCATCCCATAGACTGTTCACACCAAATCACAACCGTGCGGGCTCTGCTTCTCTGCATCCGAACGAAATATTGGGCTAAGGGCTTTTTGTGTAAAATTTGGGGCTCCGTCAGCGGCACAGCTCGACATCCATAGTCATTTATACAGTCTATAAAGATTCTTCTTACCTCGTACTCGTCCAGGAAACCTTGAATCTCTCGTGCATCGTGCCGTCAGGCTCCAATCTTGCACCTAGAAACATTCTGTCACACCTTGGCAAGAGTACCATACTTAAAGAATACTCAAGCGTCTGCGTACTTGCACTGAGGCTCCGTCCAAACATGGACCGCACCTGCTGGGGCTGCTTGAAGCAGAGATGAAGAAAAGTCCCAAAACTCTCAACATCTTTAGATCGTTTTAGATCCTGTACACACTCTGCCTTCCCAATGCGCTGAGCCGCATTATTACTTACGCCCCCGACCACACGCGATGGCAACTGGATGAGGCAAGGATTGAACAGGATTTGCACATCACATTCCACTCGTATAGAGCTGTCCGAAGCGGCTACTAAACAACGAAACCCTTCTGTACATCGCTTCAATACTAATTAAACAACGCAAAAGCCTATTAAACGGTTTATGGTTTAGGGGCCTGCTTAAGAACTGTAGCCAAGGCCTTGAAATCTGAACCCTGGGAATCTGGAACCCTGATTTCTGGGCCACGCATCGGTAGCCAAGGTACCCAAGGTACCCTTGTTCGCCTTGCTCTGCTTTCAGCTAGAAGCCGCACTCGCAACCCTAACCCTAAGGGTCCAAGTACCCAAATAGTAGGGTTTCAAGGTCCAAAAACCATTCAGAGTATGGATTTTGGGACCTAAAACCCTACTATTTGGGTACTTGGACCCTCTGCCTAAACAGACCCCATACATGAATACCAAAAACCCTCTGCCGTAAACACCTGCCCCAAGCCCCCTACTAAACGTCCCTGAGCCCTAAACAAGCCTACTGGAGCCGAAACTCATAGGGATCCTTAGGGGTGTAGGGGGAGGGGGGTAGGGGGTTTTAAGGCCCATAATAAGGACTAATAAGGCCTATTTAAGGAAATATAGTCCCCTACACCCCTCCCCCCTACACCCCTAAGGATCCCTATGAGAAACTCAAAGGGGAAAAGGAGGGACCCTTTAATGGGGACCCTTAGCCTATTATGGGCTATATAATGGGTATATAATAGCTATATTAAGGGCATATACCTAGGGGTCCTTACTAAGGGTCCCTCCCTTTCCCCTTTGAGAAACACTACAGCCCATGACCTCTCTATGGCGTGACCAACTATCTGCAGATTGTGTAACCCAGTAGCGCACCATTTATGTAAAGTCAGCTCTACTACCCCCAACTCGAATCCCCAAACCCTGAACCCTAAAACCTTCGGCCTGTTTGGCATCCGTGGCCGTCGGCGGTGCTTTGGGCGCCGAGGCCGCCGTTTTGGCGGCCGCCGCGGCCTTCGGGAGCATCGGCCTCCAGAAAGGACTTTTGGAGGGGACTTAGAGGTTCAGGGTTGGGGGGGTTTAGACAGGGCTTACGGTTTAGGGTTTGGGGTTCTAGAGGGTTCAAACAGGGCCTACGAGGTTTTAGAAGTTGTTTTCATCAGGTTGTTAAAGGCTTCTGGTCTCTTGGTGTTTCCTGGTGATTTCCGGGTGAGATACGGAGGTTTTTACTGCGCGCCACCAGTCTTGAAGGTTGTACTGCTGCATGTTGCCACAGAGGCCTGCCTAAACTCCTGCGCCCGAAACCTTAAGTCAAATCCTAAAGCCCAACCATAGCGTATCCCGGCTTGCCAACCCCTTCAAAACCCAATACAACCCCGATGCAATGTACTGCTAGTACCATACATACATATGTGTGTATATATATATGAAACCGAAACATCTCATTCTGAACATGAAGGCCCCTGCAGACATTAAAGCATTTAAAACCAAGACGGAACCTTGTACAAACCCTATCGGCACTTTGAAACGCTGTTACAAGCCCTAATAATCTCCATAAGCCCCATATAACACCCAACAGAACCAGCACGTTTACATTGGGGTTTCGGGCTTTTAAGGTTTAGGGGCCTAGGGTTTAGGGGTTTAGGGTTTAAGGTTCACGACCACCGGGCCGACTTCGCTATGCGACGCCAACAAAGACACCAGGAGACGATTCTACAAGCCTTGCATCCATCAGTAGTTGTCGTTTCCAGCATAGGAGTCATTGGAAACGTGGGTTCATGATTGCACAACCTCGAGAATCGTAGCATGAGGGTTTAGGAGGAAAGCCCAAGACCAACAGACTCGGACCCTAAGCCCCTGATAGAACCATTAGCCTCGGCCCCGGCCGAAGCGGTCAGAGGTTCCTATTCGGATTCCTCTATTCCCCACCTCTTAATCCCCTCAAAAAGGGTGCCAACCCCCCCCCCCCACCCCCCCTAAAAAATGGAAACGTGTCGATGAGCCCCAAGGTCCGGCGGTGAATTTTCGCCTTCTCCAGTGGATTTTGGTCTGTAGGCAGTCCTGCCCTTTCGGCCTTCCCCCCCCCCTCCCCCCCTCCCCCCCCTCCGGCCCCCCCCCTCCCTTTCCCTTCCTTTCTTCCTTCCCTCCCGCCCCTCCGCACAGGTGCGAGTTTTGTGGAGTTTTCGACGACACGGGACTGAAATGTAGCATCTTTATGTGTTGGGGCTTTTGCGCGGCAGCTTGTCGAGCTAAGCAGATATCAAACCCTGAACCCCCTAAGCCTCGACCCTTAGACCCCTACATCTTAGGGCCCAAAACCCCCAACCCTAAACCCGAGCCACTAAACCCGAAGACCCTCAAACCCTTTATTTGTTTGTGAGCGTGAACATCTGTTCCCGGTGTTTAAAGTCTGTTTTACCGAAAACCTAACCAGCGTGCTACAGATACTAGCCACTCGCCGCATGCCCGTACAGCCGGGCCGAGGCGGACGACGCGCAGCGTTTCAAATTAGGGTTCAGGGGTTTAGTCTGTTTAGTGCACCTTCTGGCAACCGCTCTCAAGGGAACCCTTTCAATTTAAAGAAACCCTCAACACACGTAAAGAGTCCCTCAACCTATAAAGCTAGCACCCCTATAGAAAGCCTTATGGTTCGCTAGAATGAACTTACTTACAAGTTAGAAAACCCCTAAACAGAGCCCTAACGCAAACCCCATACGCCCGAAATCCGTACAGAAAGCTATGAATGATGCAGCCTCAGAGGATCCCCAGAAAGCCTCATAAGACTCCAGATGACCCCTAAAACCTAAACCGTACTTAGAGGTTCATGGGAATTAGTAACTACGGTTACAGTTAAGGTTACTATACTTATAACTAGTAACTAGTACTAACCCCAGTTAAGGTACTTATAACTGTAGTTACTAAGTCCCATGAACCTCCAAGTGGGCCCTTCGGCCTAGGAGTCTCCGCCTCGCTACTGTCCTGCAAAAAAGGTCGGGAAGTTTTGGGGCTTCGCCGGTTTAGGATAGGGTTTTTGTCAGCCCAGGAAATTAAGTAGTCCTAGAGATATAGGGTTTTGAGGGTTTTGGTTTTAGGATTTTGGGGTTTAGGGCTTTAAAGGGGGATTGGGGTATGCGTATAAGCTTGGGGCTCAGGAGCTTGAGTTCGGGGCTGGCTAGCTGCTACCAAGCTAGGCAAGCGAAGCACGATTCGAATCTTGGCCCGGCCCCGACCGATTCGAACCTGTCATCTGGTTTTGCTAACCCTATACATACAGTGGAAGCCCAAAAGTCCAATATCTTCAATCCTCAACAATAATGTAGAGGGAATCCCACCACTATTTGGCCTTAATCCGGTTTCCAACGCAAAGGGGTTTACTGTAGGGTTCGAATTTCCTAAGCAATGAGTTACTGGGTTACATAATACGGTGAACACACTTTCTGGCTTCCAGTTTGTACGTGTAACAACTGGAGCCTTTGGGCAGGATTTCAAGCCTAGGGTTCGGCAGTTCAGCTTTGTGACAGGTACGATGATGGACATGCTTTCATGTATCGGCACCTTCATGCAATCTAGGACACCCAGTAACCTAAGAATAAAAAGGCCTCTCTTTTTGGTATTGGGTAACTTTATAAGGAACCTAGGACTACAAAAAGGGAATAGGGGTACTACTGGGCATCAGTAATAAACCCTAAACCCTAAACCCTAAACCCCTAAACCCCTAAACCCCTAAACCCTAAACCCCTAAACCCCTAAACCCTAAACCTTAAACCCCTAAACACTAAGCTCTAAATGCCATGTTTTCGGGGATAGTTTCGTGTCGGTTCTGAGATCATCGTAGACTCAGATGACAAGGTCCCATGGTCGGGGCCCCACAGACCTTCCAAAATCCCTTAATTAAGGAATATACCTTAATTCATATTTGGGATCCTACTCTTATTTAAGGTATATTCCTTAATTAAGGGATTTTGGAAGGTCTGGCCCTAAACCCTAGACCCTCGAAGCCCTGAAAGCTCTATAAACCCTAAACCCTAAACCCTTTACCCTAAACCCTGAACCCTAAACCCTTAAACCCTAAACCCCCTGAAAGCTCTATAAGCCCTACCTGGGGATCCAAAAACCTACCGTTTTAAGGGTCAGACCCTCTAATTAAGGGGTCATAACCTACTATTTTGTGGGGTTGGGGGATACAGGTACATCCCTGAACCCTGAATCGTCATCGTAGCAGAGGGCAGAACGACGCCGGTCGATGCCACGCAGAAGAGGCCCCAAGGTCCCAACAAGAAGAGGAAGTGGTAGACTGGGCTCTTCTTCAGGAATTTAATTTGGGTTACCATGATATTAAGAATCCAGATTATTTACTTTATAAGTTGCCATAATAAAGAAAACATGTTATTTACGATCGATCTAGCATGTTTGTTTTGCCTCTAGAGTCACTATATTGGCATCTACTTCTTTAGGCCGCAATATACACTATCTAGGTACACGAACCCGTTGGGAAAGGGTAAGTTTTTCGAATGCCGTTGGCTTTAGGCCATTAGTCCTGCGGATGTGTATATGTAGTGAGGAACCCTTTTTTTTTACATCGGCCCAATGTCAATATGGGGATATGGTCAAGGGACCTGCCTATCAAGGTGTGGAGACCGCGCTTTAGACACGCGTCTGCGGGGTTCCTGTGTCACGAGAGGCTACGGTACACGCGAAATATTATTATTACCAACCCCACAAAACTTTCGACCCCTCCAACGACATCGAAAAATGCGCGCAAAACACCAATGACGTCCACATTTCCCCTACCACACTTTGCAGAACCCGAATGCAGCGTTGTTTAAACAAGAAACAACAAGAGCAAGAACAGGAAACCCGGACGCGGCAACCCTAATACCAAACCTACCGAATTTTCAGACCATGAACTGTCAAACAACATACCTTGCGAGTCGCTTTGCGAACCCTTAAGGTTAAAGGATTTGGGCTTCGGAGGCTTAAGGTCTTATGGCGTGCTGCTCTGTCTCGGGTCCAGCGGTTTAGCCGTCTGCCAGCACGTGTTATTGTTACTGCACTGCTATTGTCATAGATATTGCTGTTGTGATTACTTTGGTGACTAGCAGTACTGCTTTTGTTGGTTACGATAGTCACAGTTACTATTAACGTTGTTATTGGTATTGTGATTACTACGATCATTACTACTACCATTCTCATTACTGCTGTTGCTATTGTTACTGATCTAGTCATTAATGTTGGTATTACTGTTACTCTTTCTTCTTTGCTGCTGCTGCTGCTACTACTACTACTACTACGACTACTACTACTACTACTACTACTACTACTACTACTACTACTACTACTACTACTACTACTACTACCATGATGATGTATGTTTGTACGATACCTCTTGGAAGACCTCCAGCCGAAGAGCTCCAGTCCTCGTCCTCCACAGTCATCCCTCCTTGGACCACCGTACCGACCTCTTCGATGTCCTTTGGACATTGAAAATGGTTTAAAGCTTAGGCGGTTCAGGCCTTGAGAAACAAGGTTGAGGGGTTTGAAGCTTAGCTACGAAATTGACCGTCCGGGAACACCTTTAAGGCCGAAGTATATACCCTTAATCCCACCGCGGGGTTTCCATGTTTTGAGACGTCGCTGCGGCTTTTGACCCCGCAGGAAACCCTTTACGGCTTAGGGCCAAAGCATAGCTAGATGCCTTCTTAATTTAGAGATCCCGATTTCCCGATTGGCTTATGCACAAAAGTTGAACCTTACAAAGCCTGGCTTGCTTTTCTTGGGGGGGGTCCCTAATATTATTTCCGTATACATGTAAGTGTTTGAAAGGGTAAAGAATTTGGGGTCAAACTATGCCCTGAACGCTAAACCCTCACTAAAGCCCCAAAACCTTAAACCGTGAAGCTCTCAACGCCAAAAGCTTGGCAGTTGGAGTTTAGGGTTTCCGCCGCTCTGGGGGTCTTGTAGCCACTGTCTGGTATCCACATAGTATGCGAGCTTTCGTGCCACCGACAGCTGCAACAGCAGCTGGCACCGGACGAGGACACTGTCGGCATATCTAGGGAGTTGGGTTGAGGGTTGAGGGTTTACGGTTCACGGCGGGGCTGAAGCCCTTCTATCCCAAAGGTCCATGTACCCATGTCATGCTTTTTTGGCCTCGAAGGAATTTCCTGTGAGTATTCACTAGATGGGTAGTTTTCTAAATTCGGTGCCCTTTTATGGGCCCTTTTGTAAGGGTACCGGTTTCTTTGGGGTTCCAAAAAAGGAATCTTCAATTTCGAGAATTACCCATCTAAGGATCCCTTCAGGCTACATACGGCAGACCGGCGACCAAGGCGTGAAGACTCCCTCACCCGCCACTGAAACATGGAGTTTAGAGGGTTAGGGCTTTCAGGGTTTAGGGGGCAGACCCGCCACGCGTGGGTCTGGGTCTGCCCTCAAATATTGAAAACATGGGGCTTTAAAGTTTAGAGGCTTTGGGGTTTACGGCTTTTAGGGTTTACTTGGAGGGTCGGGGGACTTAGTAAGTAGGTAGTAAGTAGACTTATAAGTATTCTAAAAGGGGTTATGGTACTTATAAGTCCCTAAAATAACCAGTTACTAAGTCCCCCGACCCTCCAAGTAGGGTTCAGGGCTAGGGCACAGGGTGGACCCGATTCATCAGCAATCCCAGGCATGAGAATTGAACTCGACTTGGCGTACCCGAAACGCTTCAACCATAAAGTTACCCTAAGGGTCCATGTGCCCAAATAGTATAAACTTTGGGCCCAATGTACCCATATAGGGAATCCTTTAAGGCCAATGTATATACTATTTAGGTACGTGGACCCTTAGGGTTAAATAAAATCAACTCGAGGCTACCATAAACAGGACATTATAAGCTAGGAACACCAAACGCTGTGCTGAGAGGACACTATACGGTTTAGGGTTTAGGAGTTTAGGCTTTAGCTTAGGGTTTACGGTTCTGACATGGTGTACAACACATCCAAGACTTCCCGGCCTCCATCAAGGCCTCACCGGCCAACGCGAACATGCTGTTGGCCTGAGTAGACATTGAGGCTAATGTAGGGGTCTTAAAAATTAGAATAGGGTTTTGGAGCCCGTTAAACTTTATTCATAATAAGTCAACCCCCCAAAATAATAGTACGTTCATGCTGGGTTTCTGTGGCATCTCCCATCTTTGTGAAGAAGTGGCGACATCTGCACGTGCCTGTAAAGCAAACAAGCGCAACCTGCGATCACTAACCCCCTCGACATGAAGAAAGGGTCTTAAGAGTAAAGAATAGCTGAGGAAGACCGGAAATTGAACTCGAAACCCTAAACCCCTAACCCCTAAACCTCGGCCCTAGACCCCTAAACCCCTAAACCCCTCAACCGCAAACCCTAAACCTCTAAACTCTCAAGGCCAAGCTCCCATCCACTTTTTTACCCATCAACAAAACCTTCACAGCGCAGAATCAGAACTTGGGCATTTCTGCGCAGGCCCTGCAGCTTAAGCCGACATCATTCATATATGATGCCCTCAACACTACGTAACCCTAAACCCTGAACCCTACAACCCTGAAACCCCGAACTCTGAGCCTTCAACCCCTGAACCCTCAACCCCAAACCCTCATATTTCCCTTGTAGAACTCTTGCAGAACACTTACAAAGCCCTAAGCCCTAATACCAGGGGCCTTAACAATTAAAATGGGGTTTTGTGGCCCACTATACTATAACTGTAACAATGAACCCCCAAATAGTATTGATAATTGTTCAGCCCCTACATTATAGTTCCCTTAGAGACCCCGTGAAAGGGCCCCTTAAAGGAACCCTTGAGCCAATTATTTAAGCCCCTATAGCAAATCCCAAATCCTCGACAGGAAAGCCAGCTCTTCTTTCCAAGGGTAGAAGGAGGGACCCTTAATAAGGACCCCTAGGTATATACACTGAATATAGCTATTATATACACATTATATAGTCCATTATAGGGTAGGGGTCCCCATTAAGGGTCCCTCCTTTTCCCCTTTGCCCAAACTTAATCAGATTCCTACAGTATTATAATACCCTTTTAGACCCCTTATAGTAATCCCATATAGATCCCTTTAAAGGAGCCCTAATAAAAGGGCCTAGGGTCCCTCCTTTTCCCCTTTGATTCTTAGAGCCCCGGCTTTCGGAGAGACTTTCGCAGTCGCGGCCTTGGCTTTCGGCGCCTTCGATAATCGAGCCTAATTCCATAATGGTAGTGTATATGGACCCTTTGGGACTACCCAAAGGCCCCAAAGTAGTTCCTTTTGGGGGTTCGTATATAGAATCCTATAAGGTAATCCCAAAAAGGTCCAACGGATTGGGGTTCAGGTGTGTCATTAGGGCTTTAGGGGTTTAGGGTTTAGGGTGTGTAGGGTTTTATGGGGTTTTGGAGGACAGCTTTTCCTAGAACCCAACTGAATAATGCGTACAACACGTATCGCCCTAAGGGTCCATGTGCGCATGAACTATATACTTGGCCCTTAAGGTAGCTAAACCAGGACTACATTAAGGCTAAGGTATATACTACGGCTGATGATAGAAATCCTGCATTACCTTAAGGACCCTAAACTATGGGAATCATGGTATATGCCATTTTTGGGTAATGCAGGGTTTATATCATCAACCGTATGATATGTGAGTTAATGGACCCTTTGCCGAACCTAAGCTAGAAGCGGCCCATCTCCACAGTAGGGGCTTGGGGCCCATTATACTATATTTATAATAAAGAACCCCCCCCCAATGGCCCAAAATAGTATTGGTAATTATCTATCCTCTGGTTCGGGAAGAATTCTATGTTGTTCAATGTCTCGGTTTGTGAAGAGAACTGTTGAACTGAATTGAATTCGCTATATAGCGGAGCCATAGTTGAGGACTCCCTCTACGAGTCCACCATAAGCATTACAGAAGAAGAAGGGCTCAGCTTCAGGATTCTCCAAGACCACCGCCAACATGTTCTAGAATGCATCGGACTAGCTTCGGAAGCACACCATCCCGAAACACGCTGCCCGGCCTCCATCAAGGCCTCACCGGCCATTGCGAACATGCTGTTGGCCTGAATCAAACAGTGCATAGGGCTACAACTAGTAATCATATTAAATCCTGCCATTTCGTACAGTGTACCTCAGTCTTGTCTCCGGCTCCCTGGACCCTACGTTCCTGTCTGCAAGCCTTGCAGCTTGACCTTCCACCCCCCTAAGCCCCAAACCCTAAACTGATTGGGGCTGAGGCTAGGATACCCAGTAACCTAAGAATAAAAAGGTCTCTCTTTTTGGTATTGGGTAACTTGAAAAGGAACCTAGGACTGCAAAAAGGGAATAAGGGTACTACCGGGCATCCTAGGAGGGCTTGGGGTTCTCATTCGGGCTTCGGGGTCGAAAGCTCAACTTACTACCCCAATAAGCCACAGAAATAAAAGGTTAAACTCTCCGATTCCTACTAAACTATAAGAGCCCAACAAATTTAAAGGTGTTTTGGCTTCAGTTAGGGCTGAGGGTTTTAGGGGTTTACTTTATGGTTGAAACTATGGGCTATGAGTCTGTAACCCTGGGCCCCTTATTTCCCTACCGACCATATATCATGTATCCTATGTACTAGTACCCCTTAAGGGCCCCCAGATCAGAATAGCCCAACAGCGGCGACAACAACAAAGTCGACGGCTGCGACGACGCGACATGGGAGATTCCGAAAATTAGGGATACCTTATTTTGGGGTCCTTATACTAAGAACTGTAGGAATTTTGGGTGCTGTATTAGGGCTGCCTGTTTTCGGAAACTCCCATATCATTCCCTGCTTCCTCTCAGGTCGGTGCGATGGCTTTCCGTTAGGTCTCCAGAAGTCTGGTGTTCTTCTTGTTGGAACCCACAGGCAGGGTTATTGGCAGGGTTTAGGGTTTATTTGTTTAGGGTTCAGGGCTTCCAAATAGCCAGTCAAGCAATCCAGCTAATCCTGAAAAGCATCCTGCGGGAGCGGGGTCCCCACCTCCGAAGCAAACTTTAGGAACCTAACAACCGAATCGACCCACACATCCATGCCATATATATATATATATATATATGTATGTATATACATATATATATATATACATATATCTACACATATACATATACCACTTCAATACACGGTCTGGCTTGCAAGGGTTCCTATACAGGTACGGAAAACTTGTTTCGTCAAAGGTATGTGTGCAGCAGTATGTGTATGTTTGCATATATATATATATATATATATGTATACATACACAGAAAGTGTCGCACTGCAGATTACCTGTGTATATATATATATATATATATACACATACATATGCATGCATGCGTGCATGTACAGATGTATGTATGCAAGCATGTGTATGCATGTATGTATATAACACACACATGCATACATACATATGCACAAAGACTGTACATACTACATACGCATTAATATGTACATAATACGGATCAGGGATGCAGCTGGCCAATGCCAGCCTGCGAGCCGCACCCTTTAAACTCTACACCCTGAACCCTATATGATAGGGGTCTTGTAAATTAGAATAGGGTTTTGGTGCCCATTATAGTATAATTATACTAATAAGGAACCCCCAAAATAGTGTCGGTGATTATTACGGCCCCTATACTGGACCCTAATCCGAAGCCCGACACCCAACATAATGAACCCTAAACCTTGCGCCTTAAAACAGTCCGACTTGTTGGGTATCATGGGGAACTAAAGGTTAACCTTTTTGGGTATATAGGGATTATATGGGGACTATACTACCCAAAAAAGGTTAAAGGTTACCTACTCTACTACTAGGCCAGTGATTGTCCGAGGGCCGCTACTTTCGGCGATACTTTGGCAGCCGTTGTCGCTTTCGGTGCCTTCGAGGGTCAAACTGGGCACCCTCATGCAGGGCCTAGGGCCTAGGGTTTAGGTAGGGTTTTGAGATCCAGGTATATAGTGTAAGTCTTCCCTACTGAGAGGTGCGGGTTGACTTTCACTCTCCGTTGGTTTAGGGCTTACGACTTTAGGGCTTAGGGTTTGGAGTGTGGGTTCTGGTTTCAATTTTCATCTAAATCACCGTGCAGGTGTTCAATGATTGCTTGCTTTGCGGGTTCTTTGAACTTAGGGTGCATGCGTTGGATTAAAGCCGCATCGGATGCAAAATCCATGAAACCGGGGTTTGCTGGAAATCTCGCTTGGAGGATCATAGGACTTAGTAAGTAAGGTTATAAGTACCTTAATTGGGGCTATAAGTAATTATAGGTATGATTACCTTATTTATAACCCCAGTTACTAAGTCCCATGATCCGCTAAGCAGGGTTCGGCCCGCTGCAGGCATGTATTCAGGGACCACCAGGCCCAAGCTGAAACGCCATATGGGCACTTGGAGGTTGATGGGACTTAGTAACTAGAGTTATAATTAAGGTAGCTACACTTATATGTACTTATAATCCCAATTAGGATACGTACTTATAACCATACTTACTAAGTCCCATGAACCTCCAAGTAGTTGTCAAAAGTATGGTCCCTGTTTGGGTCCTTATGATAACATGGCACCTGACCTAACATTCAGGATACCCAAAAAGGGGCCAGAATTTTGACAACTACCCATATGGCCCAATACAAGCTTAGAGTTTGTGGTTTTAGGGTTCAGTTTCCACAGCTCCTCTTATCGTCGGGCAGCCCTTCTACTATGCATCTGGCTTGGGTTGGGCATTTGTGGGGGGGACCTGTCTAAACTTAAACGAGGGGCTTCTTGCAAGCTCTCCAAGCTTTCGGGGCTACCTGGCGCCGCTCCGCCTCAGGGACGCGGTATGTCGGATGTAACCCTAAACCCCCAAACCCCTAAACCCCCAAACCCTCGGACCCTAAACCGGTAGGATCCATCAGAAATCCATAGGCGCCTCGTAGCAGAACAACCTTCCGAACTTCCCGAGCCTGAACCCACAGCATTTACGGTTCCTTAGTTTAGGGCTCAGGGTTTAGCTTAAAGAGATCCTTAAGGGCTCCGTTAAGGGATCTATAAGGGGGTTTCCGGGCTTTAGGGGTGTAGGGATATAGGTTCAGGGTTTGTAGGGTTTAAAGGCAATCCAAGCCCGACAAGCAATAAGGTCAAAGTAACAACAAACCCTAAACCATACCTGGGGAACCAAAAACCTACTGGGTCATAACCACCATATGATATACCGTAAAATCTAAACCCAACATGACTGCAACATTGCGCTAAACATATTGGGGGGGGAAAATATTTTTCCCCAATATGTTTAGCGTATACAGCGCTTCCCGGCCTCCATCAGAGCCTCTCCGGCCAATGCGAACATGCTGCTGGCCTGAAAAGGGGAGTTTCCTAAAATTAAGGGTACCATATTTTGGGGTCCTTATAATAAGGATCCTACTATTTCGGGCACTATATTAGGGTCCCCTAATTTTCGGAAACCCCCATATAAACACTGTCATTTAGTAATCTAGGAGCCCTCACAATTAGAGCAGGGCTACTTGAAATGGTTCGTTTAAAAGGCTCTACAAGGGCTGCTATAGGCGGCATTATGCTCGATCCCAGGCGCTACGGGTATATATTCCGGCCCAGCATACCTACAGTAGACTTTGCGGTTTCGGGTGTGAGGTAAACAAGTCAAATTGGTCAATCATGCTCTTGCCGTGTAGCTTGCAGGATTACCGCCAGTCTCCGTATGCCATACAGTATCTACGCACGTTCGAAACAAAGGTACATGCAGCCTGAGGGCAAGGCTTCGGGTTCTGAGGCCACGAGCTACAGGCGCCTTCATAATTGAATAGGTTCCGGTTCTACGATGCTATACTCATATTCAAAACAAGCGGCACTCTGAATAAGTACTCCCAAACCCGCAGAAAAACCTCCGACAAACATGCAACTTGCTCCGACCCCAACGTAGGTCCAACATGTAAAAATGTCCATACAACCTTTGTGCGAAATACCCGTGTCAGTATTCAGCCTAAAATTTGTTCCCAATCCTAAACCTTCAACCATAAACCCTAAACCTTAAACCCTGAACCTTAAAAGCCTTGCTAAACCCCGAGTTCTGAAACCTTAAACCCTAAAAACCTTAAACCCTAAACACCTTAAACCTCAAACCCTAAGCCCTCACCCTTAAACCCTTAGACCCTAAATCCCCAGCCCTAAACCCTAAAACCTCACCCTCAAACCCTTAAACCCCCAACCTTAAACCCTAAACACTAAACCTTAAACCCTCACCCTTAAACCCTAAACCCTTAAACCCTAAACCCTCCACCTTAAACCCTGAACCTTACTCAGACCCCCCTACTACCCTTTATTGTATCTCCAAATTACCTCTTAACGAGAAATATCAGAGCCCTTCAAAGGGCACTTGGGACCCGTAAACCCCCAACCACAAACCCTAAACCTTGAGCCCTAAACCTTAACTGCTAAACCCTAAACCCTTAAACCTTAAACCCTAAAACCTTAAGCCCTAAACCCTCAACCTTAAACCCTCAACCTTAAACCCCCAACCCCACTCCCAGTCTCAGGGCCCCAGCACCCAAGGAAGCCTTTGCCTTGGCCTTCGGCGCCTGCTGCCAAGACACCCAAAGGGCTTCGGGTTCATTTAAGTTAAAGAATCGTTTAGGGCTCCTTTTTAGGGTTTAGGGTTTAGGGCTCTTTTAGATTAAAGAGTCTTTTAGGGCTCCCTTTTGGGTTATAGGGCTCTTTTGAAGGGTCTATTATAAGGGCTCCCTTTAAGGGTTATATTTAGGGTAAAGGGGTTTAGGGGGTTCAGGGGTTTAGGGTTCAGGAATTTGGGTGTTTAGGGGTCCCAGATACGACGAGGAATATACCTTAAACTAAAGCAGGATCCCTAATATGATTTAAGGCACATTCCCTAATTGAGTGACATGGGAGCTTCCGAAAATAGGGGACCCTAATATAGTACCCTAAACAGTAAGATCCTTATTATAAGGAACCCAAAAAAGGTACCCCTAATTTTCGGAAACTCTAAACCCTTATAGAGCCCCTTTAAAGGAACCCTTATAGTAACCCTAGTCCCCCTTTAAAGGTCTCTGGGGTTCAGGTTTTAGGGTTAGTTCAGGGCAAGGTCTACCTAAACCCTGAGAAGACCTCGATACTATGCCTAGGATACCCAGTAACCTAAGAATAAAAAGGCCTCTCTTTTTGGTATTGGGCAACTTTATAAGGAACCTAGGACTACAAAAAGGGAATAAGGGTACTACTGGGCATCCTAGATGATGATTCTGTGATGCTTGTTAGGGTTTAGGGTTTAGGGGATTAGGGGTTCAGGGTTTGGGTGTTTAGGGCTTAGGGTTTAGGGGCTTAAGGGTTTAGGGGGATGAGCTTCCTGGTAAGACAGCGGGTTTAGAGCTTAGGCTTGAAGGGGGAGGGCTGAAGGTGCCGAAAAGAACACATGTGTGCTGACTCGATCCCTAGGAGTACTTCCGAGATCCCTAACCCCAAACCGTAATCCCTGGACCTTTAACCAAATGCCCCTCAACCCTAAACCGCTAGACCCTAACCCGATATCCTAAAACTTTACTCGGAAGAATAAAACACGGGGGTCGGGTCACGACGATAAGCTGGGACCAGGATGGTGCAAGAAACTTCGGTGGGGAGGCTCCTTCAGGTCAAGGGTTTCTGTCTATTGGGTTTAGGGTTTAGAGTATAGGGTGTAGGGTTTAGGGTTAAGAGTTCAGGGTATAGGGTTTAGGGTGGGACCTCCTTACTAAGTTACAGTATGTTATTCAAACCGTGCTAGGCTCGGCACTGATGCGGTGCATGTACAGCACTATGGCGACATCGACCGCACCACACAAAAACCTTCCAATTACCTTGAACTAAGTAAGGAATATACCTTAAATTGGGGTAGGTCCCTCCCGAACATGGTGTAAGGTATGTTCCTTATCAAGGGATTTTGGAAAGTCTGGGCATCTTTGCATGATGCCGAGTTTTGTGAAACTCGCACACCTTCAGGACTACTGGCAAACCAAAGACTGGTCCCCAAAATCTTCATCGGCGAGGTACACACCCAGATCTTCCAAAACCCCTTATCAAGTGATATTAGGGATACTATAATTTAGGGATACTCTAAATTAAGGATACTATAATTTAAGGATGCTATATTTAGGTTACTAGAATTTAAGGATGCTATAATTTAAGGATACTATAAACCAAGGTACAGTATTCTTCAATTAGGGGATGTTGGAAGAACAGGGTACAAGCCCTGAAACCAGTCCAGTTGAACTGGTTAACGTCACGTGGCAAGATGATCTATACTTGCTACCCCAATAAGCCACAGAAATAAAAGGTTTAACTTTCCGATTCCTACTAAACTATAAGAGCTCAAAAAGCTTAAAGGTTAGGTATTGGGGATCTAAGTATACCTCCCAAAACACAAGTTACCGGGCCACCACCAGTACGGCAGCAGTGTGGAACATTAAGCGTGGCTGCGATCTTCAAGCTATTGTGAAGGCCTTCTAGCGACCCTTATTGGAGTAAACGTTGTAGATTCCCTGATTACGCTAACCTTTTGTTGAGCCTCGTAAAACTTGTACCATCCCGTACTAAGGTACTTAGTCAGGTTGCCAAGCGAAACTTCTACAAACTCTTGGCTCAAAGCCTAAACCCTAAACCCTAAACCGTGGCTCAAGCCGAAACTTAACCCCAACATGGCCCGCATTGAACCCTGAATAGGGTTTAGGGTTAGGGATTCCCCCCATAGGGACATAGAGACCCCACGCCCCAAAGCCGAAGCTGTTGTTTCTAATACAAGTGCCTTTTTTAATGAGAATAGTGTTTGGGGATACATTTTGACTGTAATTACAATAAGGAAGCCCCACAATAGTAATAGTAATTGCCTCGTGTGAGGTCTGCAGGCTGTCTTTCTGTGCTCCACCGGCAGGTGGGGCTATCGCCGAAGCCTCAGAGGTTAGCATTACTGGGTTCTTGTTGAGGGATTTAGTTTGATTTTTCCATAATAAGGAAACCAAAGCAACTATGTACTATAGATCCCTATTATGGTAACTTAAATTAAATTCCTTGACAGGAACCCAGCGTAATCTCGAACGGTACATGTATTCATATACTGTATGCTTCCGCCATCGAGTAGTCCCAATATAAGTACTGTACTTCAGGGCTGAAACAACCCTTAACTCATTGCACATGATGATGCTGCTGCGCTAGGACCATGACAATTAGGATACTTTCCCAGGTTCTGCATGCCTTTCGAAAGCCCTTGAGTCTTGAGCCACATATTTGCCCAAATGCATGAATGCACAGCAATAGAACCAACCAATATTTGCCACATGTTTGATATCAAATCCATGCACTGCTTCAGGGATAGCTCCATGTATTGATTGTACCTGTTGAGGCTTGTGTCCCTTATAAGGAAATGTGCCCGCGGTATGTACGTTGGCCGTAGAATCTGCCATAGTTGGATAGACGGAAATGGATCGGAAGCAAATATGCATGTTTCAATTGGTGTCTTGCGCGCTTATTGCGCAACAGCAGCACATGCAGTCCATGACAGCTGCTGCACCTTCCGACGTATACGGGCGATCTTCATGCTTCTGTTTCTAGCCCTTCCTGAACCCCAATAACCTACCTTTTCTTGGGTTCCTTGCTAAATTTTATTCGTGGATAAGTCCTTATAAATTAGGTGTTTAGTGGTTCAGGTCACACACAAACCCGGCTTCCAAGACCAACTCGGTGCCCGGGCAGCGGCGGACGTCTCGGTGCTTGACTGAGGCTTGCCCCTCCGCGGTTGAGTGCTTAAGGCTCTAGGTTTAGGGTTTTGTTGCACACTCCAAGTACCCACCATCACCTACTGTTTCTTGAAGATAAGACGATTGCTCTGAAAAATACACGCATGCATTAGGTCCAGAGGAGCACGCTGAAGCCCTCAGCAACAAGCAACCCTAGCATCGACCGCACTCACTCAGACAAAAAAGATGATATACATTTCTGCACACACACGCACACAGACACACACGCACAGACAAACCCTACACCCTAAACCCCTAAACCCTATACCGAAACCCCTATACCCCTATACCCCTGAACCCTAAACAATAATATGCAGTTCGAGAGGAGACCAGGAACTCTATCAGCACCGGAAGCTCCTAACCCTGGGGACTGAAGTTAAGTTGCCATAATAGGGATCTCTAAGGGTTCCTTTAAGGGATCTACAAGGGTTCCTTTAAGGGTTTAGGGTGTAAGGTTTAAGTCGCCATAGGAGGGATCTATATCTCCTTATTATGGTAACTTATTTTAACCCTCAACAAGAACCCAGTAACCGTAACCCCTGGACGAAGACGATGGAAAGACCCTGACTTATGGTTTGGGGGTTTAGGGATTTAGGGGTTTAGGGATTATTGGTTTAGGGGTTTAGGGTTTTTTTGGGTTTAGGGTTTAGACTCCCTTCAGACTACCGGAGTTTTATGGACCTCCATGCAGCCGAAGTAGGTGGAAACTGTCCGCTAAAAACAGGAACTGCAAATCCCAAACTAGGTGCGTTTCGAATGCATGGAGCATAATAAATACGTTTGGAGCAAAAAACGGTGGGAGTTGCCAGGGTCGCCTAAAACCACGTCCACGGCGGCGATTGCGGCAACACGAAACTGTACATGATGATCAGACAGGGCGGCAAAAGCATTAAGCTGCGCAACCTGGAGCAGCAATGCTGTAAGCAAGACTTAAAGGTCTTCGAACTGCACGGCAAGAAATGTTTGTGTGACTATTACTACGGTTGATGATCGAAATCCTGCATTACCTTACGGACCCTAGGCCATGGAAACTATGGTATATTCCTCATTATGGATAATGCAGGATTTATATCATCAACCGTAGTGTTACGCCGGAGCCCTGAACCGTAGACCCGACAACGTCTTCTCTGCTTGTGATGCTCGTTGCCCCTGCATAGAACCCTCGTCCCTAAACCCTAAACATCGCATCTGACCGCTTTACGGACTTTTTATTAAGGATCCCTAAACAGGGTAGGTGTCTTGGGGGTAGACCCTAAACCCTAAACGAAACCGTACTCTACTTGTCGAGGTTGCGCGGTCTTCAGAGCTCTAAGCTTCCACTCTGATATCCTGGAGGTCCTTTCAGGCTTTAGGGTTCAGGGTTCAGGCTTTAGGGTTCAGGGTTCAGGGTTTAGGGTTTGGGGTTTGGGGTTTAGGGTTTAGGGTTATTTTAGGGGTTCAGGGGTTCAGGGTTTCGGGTTTAAGTTTAGGGCTTTATCTATGCTGAACTTAGATCCCTAGCAAAAAACCTGATTTTAGCTGCTATCTATAATAGTGTCCCGGAGTTGTGAGGAGGCTCCTGGATCCTACTGACGATGTAAGGTGTATATCAGTGCCTCGATGTCTGGAACTCCTATATCCAGCCACATAAGTTCATTTTCAGGGTTTAGGGTTTATAGGGTTTCAGGGTTGCTGAAGTTGACCTTACTTTCGAAGATGTCGAACTTCTCCAGGACCGAAGAAGTTAGAGAGAACTCCACACGACACTACGTTCGGCTACTGCTACACCGTGAATCCAAATGACACCCCGAACCCTAAACCCGAAAACTACTACCCCAAAGGATCCATCTACTTTTATAGTACATACTTAATAACCCTAAACCCCTTTAAGGAACCCTTTGAAGGACGCCTTTAAGGAACCCTTTAAAGGAACCCTATACCGGGTACCTGGATCCTTAGGGAACAGCACCCTGAACCCTCGATCAGCCTCTTCGTCAGGCGCTCGAGCGCTGGAGAATCTGAACCGCCGTCAGTCCTTGGATGGGAGGATCTAGAAAGTAGATCCCCTAATTGGGGGCCCTTTACTACCAAGGGTACTTTATAGGAACCCCCCATTAAGGGATCTACTTCTTGGATCCTCCCGGGGGGTCTGGGCTTTTGGAGGTAGGTCCAGCTATGATGAGAGGCCAAAAGGGGGGTTTAGATTCTTGGGGTAGGGATTCCTTAATATGAACCCTATTATGGGAACCCCAATCCCTACTAAACCCCCCATAAGCTAAACCTTTTTTGGCCTCCTATGAGCCCTTGGCAACCGACTCCAGGCCTAGACCTCTCCAAGGAAATGGGTTAGGATGAGGCCTCTCTGAAGAGATTCCGCTTCTTGTTTTTTCCAAAAATTATGGTGCTGTTCACAGAGTCTCGGGAGGCACGTCGATTCAGGAAAAAAGCTCACATCCATTAGCAACGTCGGAAGAGGGGAGTCATGCTGCCTGTAAAATTATGGCCCTAAACCCTAAACCTACATCCTAAACCCTAAATCCCAAATCCTAAGCCCTAAACCCTAAATCCTAAATCCTAAACCCTAAATCCTAAACCCTAAACCAATAAGAACGGCGTTACATCAAGGCATCCGCCGGGAGCTTTAGGAGCGTTAATAACTGGACTAGGGGTTCCTTTAAAGGGATCTATAAGGGCTAGGGGTTCCTTTAAAGTGATCCTTCAAAGGGATCTATAAGGGCTAGGGGTTCCTTAAGGGATCTATAAGGGCTACTATAATCGTACTACGGTATAAGGGGCCTTAATAATTTTAATAGGGTTTCTGGGCCCCATTATACCATAGTTATAATGCGGAGCCCCCGAAATAGTATTGGTAATTGTCTAGGCCCCTACATTATAGTACATTATAGTACCCATATAGACCCCTTCGAAGGACCCCTTTTTCCAATTATTTGGGTCCCTACAGTATCCACATGGTATGCCCAGCCAAGTCACTGACGGTTGAGCCGTCAAGCGCCAGATCAACAGACCGATGCAGTGGGGCATACCCAGCACCCACTAAATACCCTTTAATGGAGCCCTTGTGGTCCTTGATAGTGGGTATTTCTGGTATGTTGTAGGGTTTAGGGTGCAGGGTGCTCGAAGCCAGCTCCCTCGCTTGGAGCAACCGTACCAGACCCGGGCAGCGTTGCCTGAGGCTCAGGATGCTCCACGAGAGAGTGCCTACGTCAGCGCCCAGACGTCCACTCCGGCGGCGATGTCTTCTGCGACGCTGTCTAGTGCCTCGGCCAAATTAAAACCTCGAAGTCCTCTTCGGTGTCCAGTGCGTTTTGAGGGGTTGGCGTAGGCCTTCCCAGTTCAAGTTTTGGAAGAATCAAAGGGCAAAAGGAGGGACCCTTAATGGGGACCCCTACCCTATAATGGGCTATATAATAGGTATATAGTAGCTATATTAAGGGTATATGCCTAGGGGTCCTTATGAAGGGTCCCTCCTTTTACCCATGGAAAGAACGCGCACAGCCGGGCTGCTCCTGCAAAGGCCCCAAGCCCAGGTGTACCTCGCCCTAAGGCTCCATGTACCCATATAGTACATACTTAGGCCTTCAAGTACCTATATAGGGACCCCTTTAAGGCTTAAGTATCCACTATAAAGGTACATGGAGCCTTTGGGTCGTCGCCAAGCTGGTCTGCAACCTCTATGCCTTTTAGAACCCTACTATAGATCCCCTATACACCCCAAAGGACCCGTTGAAGGAACGCTGTTCAAATTATTAAGGCTCCTAAATCCAGACTGGTGTCAAACCCAAGGTCGACCACACTAACAAAAAGGCTGAAAAGCTGGGAGCGGCACACTGGGAGATTGAAGACCTGCAGAGTATCACAGAAACTCCTCTCCCTCACATTGGCACTTAGGGTTAATTTGTGGAGCCAAAAACCTGCCGTTTTAGAGGTAGGCCCTTCAGTCATCAAATCAAAAACTTCTATGTTGTGGGGTTGTTGCTACACCTGGGGTCCCAGAATTACCGGAAGTTGGCAATATACTGTCTACTTAAAGGATCATGGGACTTAGTAATTGGGGTTATAAATGAGGTGGCCATACTTATAAATACTTATCACCCCAATTCATAAGGTACTTATAACCTTACTTACTAAGTCCCATGATCCTCCAAGTAGTGTACCGTAGCTCACTCTAAGGATCCATGTACCCAAATAGTAGATACTTTTGCCCTTGTGTAGTGCCTACATAGGTACTCCGGGGCCAAAGTATATACTATTTGGGTACATGGACCGTTCGGGTCATGTTATGACTTAGCCTGTTTCTTCATTAGGCTGGGCTTGCGGGTGGCAGTGTGGGTTTGCCCCTGTCCTGGCTCCTGAGAAGTCCCTTGCTAGTAAGGGTACCCGTTTGTCCTACTATTCGGTTTTAACAAGGGGACCCTCAAACAAAAAGGGCAAAAGGGTACCACTCAGGTTTTACTATTGTTTACTCATGCTTTACGGCCTAGGGACTTGGAGTTAGGCATGTGGTGGCAGAGGCTTCATATTACTGGAGTTTTGAAAGGTGTAGCCTAACATAAGGGTTCATGCGCCTGTATAGTAGGTACTCCGAACCACAACTACCTACACAAGAACGCCAGCTAGTTTGTAACGCCACAGCATGTCTTTCAACGTTCACAGACGTTTCAAAACCCTTGGAAAACTCACTGAGACTACCGCCCTAATCGAAAATTCAGGGTTCCTCTAGAAGGAACCTTTAGGGCGCTTGAACTCTCTGGGCGACCGTGACCAAAGGTCCGCAGCAAGGAGCTCACGGGAATGTTGGGACAGAGGTCGATCTTTATTGGAAAATCGTATGGGTTCTAATGAGCTTCAAGATAAATCCAGGTACCTTAATAATCAAGACAGGCTTGTGTGTTCCGCCAGAAGCGGATACTGCCAGTAGTTAGATACCTCGTGCGACCTCTATAAATCATGACCATCTCGGCTTTTAAGCACAGGGTGGAACTCAAGCGTAAACTGAAACGACCACCTCTTCCGAGAGACTGCAATATCCTTTAATTCAGGATTGCACCTTAGATTAAAGTAATACCCTTTATATCCCTTAATTAAGGGATATTGAACTCTAAAGCCCTAAATATCCCTACCTAATACCATAAACCCTAATACTCTTTATATCCCTTAGTTAAGGGGTATTAAACCCTAAAGCCCTAAACACCCCTACCTAATACCCTGAACCCTGATACCCTTTATATCCCTTATTTAAGGGGTATTAAACCCTAAAGCCTTAAACACCCCTACCCAATACCCTAAACCCTAATACCCTTTATATCCCTTAATTAAGGGGTGTTAAACCCTAAAGCCCTAAACACCCCTACCTAACACCCTAAACCCTAAGACACCTTCCTACGCACCTTGAAAAAAGGGAAGAAGGGCCTACTCTAGGTCCTTGGACACTGCAAACGATCGAAGAACTGACATCCGCACCCAGAGTCATCAAAAACCTGGAACCCAAAGGCTCCATGTACCGTTATAGCAGATACCTAAGCCTTAAAGGGGTCCCTATATAGGCACTTTAAGGCGTAAGTATACACTACATAGGTAGATGGAGCTTTTGGGAGTCATCAACATACTAGAAAGGAACACTCGACAAACGCCTTAAATTCGAAGCCTGAAACATCCAAACCCTACAGCCTAACCAAAACCACTTTAACATCCTATATAAGCCTTTTCTGAATTCGAAATCCAAAATAACCGCTCGCAAGACTACGCCCAAAACCCGCACCCCTAAACCCGAAACCACATTCTTCGCCTCTTTCAGATCTCCGGGCGGCTTCTTCGGTAGGTCGGGCCGGGTCTGCGGAATGCTTCCGATGCTCTGACCTGGCACTGAGCATCGGATTGAACAGTTGAGCGCTTTGCTTTCTTCGCTGCGGGCCCATGTGCCTCCTAATTTATAGAGCAAGGTAGGATATATTTAGGCCTTAACTATGACGAAGTATATATGGATACTGGTACATACTTTGTTTATTCCGGGGCATGAACTGCCAGGGTTTGCTAAAGCATCTCTTTTCCATCGGAAGTATTCCGACGGTACGTCTCGATTCCTGAACCCAAAACCCAAAACCTAAACCGTGCAGAATTTAACTCCATCTCTTCTTCGAAAAGTCAGTGCCGTTCTGCGGCTTTGCCCACGTGTCTCCCAAAAACCTATACATTGAAGGCAATGTAGGGTTTATTAGGGTTTAGGGGTTTAGGGCTTTGGTTTTCCGGGTTTGGGTTTAGGGGAATCAAGAGTGGCGTGCGACAGCACAGGACTCAAGCAGTGTCAAGTGGCTCGGTTGTGAGGTGCCTCCTGAATTTCGTGAAAAGACTAAAGCTAACATCATTTTTTTGTCTGCACCGTCATCAGTGGGATACTGGACAGTGACAGTTTAGGCAGGTGCCGATTCTTGACTACTTCATGCCGCGGATCTTGGCGGTGGGGCGGCAAGGCTTGCTCTTACCGAAATCCTAAACCCGGAACCCTTAGTCCCGTGTCCTAAGGCTGGCAGACCGGTAAACCCTCAACAGTGTGACAGCCAAAAACACATTCCTATAACATGACGCCATATCAATCTGTAAACCGCGAAGAACCTTCCACAATGCCGGAATATAGACACACAACACCCTGTCAAAACACAACACCATCTTTACGGAAAAACCACAAACCATGAACTGTAACTGTGGAAAAGGCCATATCTTCAGCAGAAACAAATGATAATGCACACAACATCCACGCCCCCTCCATGCAAGACACTGCGCTGCACCCAACCCCAAACCTGTAAAACCTCATAGGTCCCTTATTCTAAAACCTTTATAGAACCCTCATAGAATCCTTGCAGAACCATAGCCCCTGAAACCCTGAACCCCGAAACAATGAACCCCTAAACCCTAAACCCCTTAACCCTGCGCACCGCAAGACTCTCCAGACTCCAATGGCTCGGCGCAGAGCATCTCGTAGGTTACTGGCCTGGCACTGGGGTTTAGGATTTAGGGTTTAGGACTAACATAGGGCTCTTACTAATCATAATAGGGTTTTGGGGTCACTTATACTACAAATATAGTAAGGGATCCCCAAAATGTTATGGGTAAATATTTAGGCCCCTATATTATGTTGTTGGGTTTTGCTTGGAGGGTCGGGGGACTTAGAAAGTAGGTTCAAGTAGAGTTAGAAGTACCCTTATAGGGTACAGTTAGCTACTTGCTGAGTCCCCCGAACCTCCAACTAGGGTTATGGTTCAGGGAAGTGGTTTAGGGAGTCGGTCACCTCACGTAGTTGCGCTTCAAGGGATTTAGAGCTCAGGTTATGATTCAGCACGTACTTTTGTTAGACCAATTATCTTACTAATTCGGGTATTCTACTGGAATCCGCTAGTTCACTGGCCTGGCTCCGTTGGCTTTGCAGTAAACTAATATCGGGGCCTTGATAATTAGAATAGGGTTTTGGGGCCCATTATACTACAATTATGACAAGGTCCCCCCCCCCCAAAAAAAAAAAACACCAACAGCATAGGTAATTTCTTGTAAGGCCCCTATACTAGCGTCCCAAACTCGGGGATCTACTTTTTGGATCCTTCCAGGCAAATTTCAAGTCCGACGCCTGGTCCCGAAACTCTCCTCGTCCTAGAGCCCCGAACCAAGCCCTAAACCCCGAACCCTACGGTTGATGGTATAAACCCTGCATTACCCAAAATAAGGAATATACCATAATTCCCATAGTTTAGGGCGCTTCAGGTAATGCAGGATTTGTAGCATCAACCGTAGAATGATCCTGAACCCTCGGCTGCGAACCCCCTGTGCCCTTCACCTCAAAGTTTACATACCTAAGCCCAAAACCCTAAAACCCTAAACCTCCCCCGATGCCCCACACCTCAAATTGTACCCAAAACACCGAAACCTTAAAACGTTCCCTACAAACCCAAAAAGCCATGAATCGAAGCATCGGCAGAAGTGCGGAGAGGGATTGCTGGGTGCGGCTGGCGGGACATCCTCGAAGAGGACGGCTTGAAAAAGCTTCAGGGCTCAGGATTTAGGGACTTGGGTTTAGGGGTTCAGGGTTTAGGGGTGCAGGGATTAGGGTGTAGTTTACTTTATATTTGCTCTTCTTTCCTGTATGCTCCATTTGCATGTGCAACATGTACACACGCGCACGCACCATGGAACCCCGCCTTTGTGCCTGTATGATTGGACATGACCTGACCCGGAAGCCGGCTGTCCAGACATACAAGCACACATACGGACATACATCCGTACATACATACATACCCTTGCACATACGGATGCCCATGCACCTACACGTAAGGATACAGGTATGTTGTCATACATATATATGTATATATATATATGCATCTGAAAGTACCTGCACATGCATATGCAGTCTGTGTATGTGTCTACATGCATACATACATATATACATAGAGAGAGAGAGAGAGAGAGAGAGAGAGAGAGAGAGAGAGAGAGAGAGAGAGAGGGCGATAACCGCCGAACCTTAAACCCTAGATCCGACTCCCTAAACGCTGAACCCCATAGATCCCTAAAGGAACCCGCATAGATCGCTTAAAGGAGCCCCACACCCTACACCCTCAAACCAGTCCCTCGGGTTGCTCCTCGAGTTCCACTGTGAGGTGTGAGATCTCCTCAAGGCCCAGGATACGCCTGAATCGGCTCTAGGCACTCCCTGTGAGGGTGGGTTGAGGGTTGGGCGCTTAGAGTTGGGGTTTACCTTGAGGGGATCTTTAGGGGCTCCTTTTAAGGGGATCTTTAGGGGCTCCTTGAAAGGGATCTTTAGGGGTTCCTTTAAGGGATCCTTAGGGTTCCCTTCAAAGGGGCTTTTAGGGTTCCTTTAAAGGGATCTTTAGAAGGGATCCTTAGGGTTCCCTTCAAAGGGGCTTTTAGGGTTCCTTTAAAGGGATCTTTAGGGGTTCCTTTAAAGGGATCTTTAGGGGTTCCTTTAAAGGGATCTTTAGGGGTTCCTCTAAGGTGACACTAATTCATCCTACCCTGTCCATGTACTCATATAGTATATGCATTGGCCTTAACGTACTCCCTGTGTATGTACATTGGGCCCAAAGTAAATGCGATATGTGTACATGGACCCTTAGGGCTAAGTCCTAAATCTTATATTCCTGAACCCTAAGGCCCTTCTGTCAGTCCTGGCACCATACTACTCTGCTACTAACTCAAAACCTTCAAAAAGTGAATATCTTAATGCTGTAATACTCTAAGGCCCTAGCCCCAAACCCCTAAACCCCTAATCTCTTAAACCCGCTCAACCCCCTAAACCCTCAAGCCGTGCACCCGAAACCCTACTGCAAACCCTAACCCCCTAAACCCCTGAACCCCAAACCCTCATAGACCCCTTGTTCTCGAAGCCCTATAGAATCCTCATAGAACCCTAAACCCCAAAACTTATAAGATTTTGTAGATCCCTTATAAGTATCCCTTCAAGGGAACCCTTAGCCTTAAAGCCTAAACTCTAAACCCAAAACTCTGAACCCTGAACCCAAAACTCTAAACGATAAGCCCTACAAGACGATTCAAGCATCGCGAGTGGGTCTCCGGCCAGTTGCAGCGATCCCTTTTGCCCGAGAAGTCGAAGATGGCGTTCCACAGATTCCGGGCCTTCGGTGAGTGAGTGAGTTTAAATTTAGGGTTTAGGGGTTTCGGGGTTTAGGGTTTAGGGGTTTAGGGTTTAGGGGTTTAGGGGTTTAGGGGTTTAGGGTTTAGGGGTTTAGGGTTTCGGGGTTTAGGGTTTAGGATTTAGGGCTTAGGGTTTAGGAGTCCTGTAAAGGGATCTATACGGGTTCTGTAAGGGATCGGTGTAGTCTTGTAGGGTTTAGGGTTTAGAAATCTATGAGGGTTGTATGAGGATTCTATTCGGGGTGTTTAATCAGGGATCTATAAGGGTTCTATGAGGGTTCTATATGAGGGATCTATAATAAGGGATCTATGAGGCTTTAGGATTTCTGGGGTTTAGACTTTAAAAGTTTAGGGTTTTAGGGGTTTGGGTTGAGGGTTTAGGGGCTTTAGGCGTTTAGAGTTTGGGGTTTATTGTAACCGGGCCCAGAAAGTTCAATTTTTGACAGATAAAGCACATCTATGAATCCAAAAAAAATTTAAAGTTCTCCCAGTGGCGATCGCAGTATAGGAGCCAATAAGGGTTTAGGGGTCTTGGGACATTTCTACTATATCTAGACAAGAGAGCCACAACGAATACCAAGCCCCGATATTGGGGTTTACTTAATGAGCTGGACCTATCTTGGGGCTTGACCAGGAGGCAACAAATCACACAAACCAAAGCTTTCGCAGGCAGTACCCCTAAGACGTAGTTAGGTTTTCCAGTTGTTCGCGCTGCTTGGGGTTCATGGGACTTAGCAAGTACAGTTATAAGTACCTAACTGGGGTTATATCCAATTGAAAGTATAGTTACCTTATTTACAACCCTAGTTATTAAAACCCATAAACCTTTAACAGTTCCCCATATCAAGGGTAGCTTAAGCGTTGGGAGCTCCATTGGGTTTAGGGCTTAGGGCGTATAGGGGCTTTGGGGTTTGGGTTTAGGTTTAAGGTTTAGGCGTTTAGGGTTTAGGGGTTTAGGGTCTAGGGTCTCGGGTTTAGGGTTTAGCGTCTAGGGTTTAGGGTCTAGGGTTTAGGGTCTGGGGTTTAGAGCTTACCAGTTAGTTGCAGCTTAAGGATTGTGTGTCGGCGTTGCCATCGTTATCAAATCCAGATTTACAACTTGGCTCCGTGCCCTAAGGCCAGGAAAACCACGCCACAAACCTTAAACCATGAACCCTAAACCCCAGGCCCTGAAACCCTAAGCCCTAAAACCCTAAAACCAAAAAAACGAACTAAAAACCCTAAACCAGACAACCCTAAACCCTCAGCTCCACGCGGGTTCGAACTTAAATCTTGCGAAGTGCTCCTGGGCTGGCGTAGTCTGAGGAGAAGAGTCTGAGTTTGGCCTTTAGGGTTCAGGGTTTGGGCTTTAGGGTTTTGGGGTTCAGGGTATAGGATTCCAGGGTTTCAGGCTTTAGAGTTCGGGCTTTAGGGTTCAGGGTTTGCAATTCAGGGTTATAGGGCTTAGCGCTTCGGGGTTTTAGGGTTCAGGGTTTAGGGTTGTAGAGCTTAGTGCTTTAGGGTTTTAGGGTTCAGGGTTTCGGGTGGTTTAGGGTTTCGGGCTTTAGGGTTGTAGGATTTTGGGGTTTACGGTTTTAGGCTTTCAGGGTTTCAGGGTTTAGGGTTTGGGGTTTAGGGTTTTAGGGGTTTAGGGTTTTAGGGTTCAGGGTATAGTGAACCCCATCAACTTGGAAACCGAATTAAGGCCAAATAGTGCTGGTATTCCCTATACATTACTCTTAAGGATTGAGGCTATTGGGTTTCCAACTTTGGGGCTTCTACTGTAGGGTTTTAGAGTTTCAGGGTTTAGGGCACCTCAAATACTGGTAGGAGTGTGGTTATACTGTGGGCGGCAGTTGCAGCCGTTTCTGGGATTCATGTCTGCCAGGGTTCAGAACCTCGCTCCTTCTTCTTGCCCTAAGGCTCCATGTACCCATATAGTATATACTTATAGGCCTTAAAGTACCTATATCGGGACCCCTTTGAGGCATAAGTATGCACTCTCAAGGTACATGGAGCCTTTGGGTTGCAGCAACCTGAAACCGTTGTCGCATCTCAGCAGCTCAACAAAGGCCCGCCAGAGAGGATTGCAGCTGGAGTCATAAAACTGTTGGGCGCTACGGTTCCTGGGTATCCTTTGCTTTAAAGGGATCTATAGAGGTACCTTTAAGGGGTTCCTCTAAGGGATCTATAGGGGTTTTAGGGTTTAGGGTTTAGAGTGATGATATAAATCCTGCATTACCTTAAGAACCCCAAACTATGGGAATTATGATATATTCCTTAGTATGGGGAAATGCAGGGTTCATATTATCAACCGTATGAACAAAAACACCATGCCTGAACCCCACACACCTCTGACTATCTTGGCTCGCATAGCAACATCCGAAGCCCCAAACTCAAACTCCAATCCAAGCTATAAAGACCATGAAGCCCCACATCGATCAACCTAGCAGCCCAAACCTCTACGCCCAATACCCGAAACCCTCAACCTTAAACCCTTTACCCTAAACCCAGGCGGCCTGAGCCATGGGGTAGCTTGCGCTCCAGGGCGCAAACGCCTCGGATCAATCTCGGTTTAGGATTTTCGGTTTAGGTAAAAGTTGTGTTCTTAATTTGGTTGTTTTTTGTTTTCTCTCTCTCTCTCTCTCTATCTCTGTCTATCTCCCTGAGGAATCCTGCCAGCCTCGCATCAGCACTTCGATGCCATGACTTTTTGGATGCTCTAGCGGGTCCTCTGCACTGGTGAAACTATAAAGATGAAAGCGTGAGACAAAATGTACGACAGGCATTAAACTACGAAGGTTTGCTAGAAGCCTGGACTTTAGCTCGTTTGATCTGCAGCAGCAGTGACTCGCCGTCCTGCACTCGGCACGTTAGCGTCTTTGATCGACATGGACACAATCCAAACGCTTCCGGATGAGTCCCCACAGACTCCAATATCCCTTAATTAACGAATATTCCTTAAACCATATTAGGGATCCGATTATATTTTAAAGTATATTCCTTAATAAATGGATATTGGAGTCTCTGGGTTCAACAGCCGACCCATTCCGACTCCACCGTCTCAGCGAGGCCACCGTTTCATCCATGGAGGCTTCCCCTTAGGCTCTAGGGACTCATATTTAAAGGATCTGGGGCCCAAAGACCATACTATATAAGGCTTTTGGGCTATTTTGAGCCTTAGGGTTCCAGAGCAACCGTCTTGCCGCCCTCAACCCCACTTCCACGCCTTTTTGGTCGCGCGTTCTCCGGATCACGTAACCCTGGGCATCAAAATAGCCCAAAAGTCATGTATAGTATGGTCTTTGGGCCCAAAAGCCCTAATATACGAGTCCGCAGATGCCGAGGGTAAAATCCTGAACCCTACACCCGGAACTCCCTAAACCTTAACTAGCCATGAACTCTCCCAAGGGTGCCGCCATGTCTTCGGACGTTTCAATGACTGGCTCGGTCCTGGGCTGAGACCAAAACGGGGCGTACGGCTTTGCTTCAAGGGCTTATGGTTTAGGGCTGAGGTGTAACTATAGGGCATAAGGTTTGGGGTTTAGTGACGTCTGCCGTTGACTTGCAGCGGTCTATACAGTTACAGTATATGCCCGGGCATTAAGCAGGTTCCTATCTGACTGTATGGTCAACTTGTATGCTGTGTGAGTGCGTAGACACGTACGTAGGGGCGTATGTGATTGGAGCTTCAGAATAACGACCTCCACGCGAAACCTGCGTAGCAACATGTAACATGTCCTTTCGGCGGACGCCTCTTCTTGCGTGGTGAGTTTTCTGAGAAAGTCTGACTCTAAAGCGTTTTCTGATTCCCTACAATGGGTAATCCGCCAAAAGCCCTACCGTTTTAAGGGTTCTACCCCCTAATTCAGGGGTGATAACCTACGATATTGCAGGGTTTGAGTTGCATATGTGTACGTTACAGAGACGTCTGCGGTGCAGGACCTGGGGCTGGGCTGAGGCAAGCCGCCATCGGCGCCATCACCATTCCCTAAGGGTCCAAGTACCCAAATAGTAGGGTTTCAAGGTCCAAAAAGCATTCAGAGTATAGATTTTGGGACCTCAAACCCTACTCTTTGGGTACTTGGACCCTCTGGGATTATCATGAACATCATCGTTACTCTATAGTTGCAAGCCCTTTACAGCCCAAAGTGCAGAATACCCTAGACATACACTTCACCTACAGTCTCCATTGTAGTTCCTCTTTTGGGATATTGACTCCTAAACCCTGAACCCAAAACTTCCTTGTAGTTCCTCTTTTGAGTGATTTACCTTTGCTTTCGCAGTCTCTGAATCCCGCAGATCCTGACATCCCTTGCATGACGCTTGGTTAGGCTTTCGGGTTTAGGGTTTATGGTGAAGTAGCCCCAGACCCTACCAAACACAGCACGCTAAGTTAAGACCCCTCAAGTACAGGGTATAAGCCTTAGAACAACAGGGACCCTAGGCCCTAAACCCAAAACTCCAAACCCTAAACCCTGAACTTAAACCCTAAACCTAAAGTTAAGCCCTAAACTTAAAGTTAATCCCTAAGTGTGAACCCTGCAACCCATATACCCTAAACCTAAACCCTATGAACTTAGACCTTTAACTCAAAGTTCAACGACCCTTGCTTTCAGGGTCGGGGGACTTAGTAAGTAGGTAGTAAGTAGACTTATAAGTACCCTAAAAGGGACCCTAATTGGGGTTATGGTACTTATAAGTCCCCAAAAATAACCATTTACTAAGTCCCCTACACCCTAAACCCCTATAGAATCCCTATAGATCCCTTTGAAGGGGCCCTTAAGGAACCCCTTATAGTTACTAAGTCCCCCGACCCTCCAAGTGGGACCCATCCTCAGGCTCCGGCTTCGAGTACAAATGGAAGGTGCAGCGCTTGCAGTCTCCTTGGTAGCCAGACCCTACTTAAAGGATCATGGGACTAAAGGGATCTATAGGGGTTCCTTAAAGGGATCTATAGGGGTTCCTTAAAGGGATCTATAGGGTTTAGGGTTTAGGGTCTACTTAAAGGATCATGGGACTTAGTAATTGGGGTTATAAATAAGGTAACCATACTTGTAATTACTTAAAACTTCTCCTTGGTAGCCAGACTCTAAGGGTCTAAGTACCGTTATGGTAGATACTCAGGCCTTAAAGGGGTCCCTATATAGGTACTTTGAGGCCTATAAGTATGTACTATGTGGGTACATGGAGCCAGACTCTAAGGGCCCAAGTACCCAAATAGTAGGGTTTCAAGGTCCCCAAAACAATTCAGAGTATGGATTTTGGGACCTAAAACCCTACTAAACCCTAAACCCTACTTTTTGGGTACTTGGACCCTCTGGGAGGTACTGCAATCAATGTCCCTGAATTAAGGAATATATATATATATATATATATTCATGTTTAGGGGTTCAGGGTTTGGGGTTAGGGTTTAGGGTTTAGGGTCTACTGGGTTGTAGGGGCGTTGTGCAGGGTAGTTATTTATTGCTTATCCTACCCCTGTTTTAGGGTATCTACTTTTCTAAACATCAGATCCGAGCCAACTAAACTAGGTTTTTCTCAAAAAAGGGTAGGGTATCATGTATGAGCCTCTAAGTAGGGTTGTGGGCTTAGGGCTCGGTGCAGGGTTTGGTGTTTAGAGGGCTTGCGGCTGAATGACTTTAGAAACTTTTGGGGTTTTGGGGCTTAGGGGTTGGGCCAGGTGACAGTTTTGAGGGTTCGGAGTTCGGGGTAGGTAGCTTTAGGGGCTCTTTGACTTCGAGGCCTATGCCAGACAGTTCCACGCACATTCGAGAAGGAACCGCCACTTGCGTGGGCAGCGTCGGATTCCAGATTCTACCTGCACTCTGCAATGCAGTTCTTGCCTTGGCTAACCCTAAGCTTCCAGGGACCTTACTATTGGGTCCTTAAGGGGTCTAGGGCCCTAACTATAAGGTCCTTGGAAGCATTGGGTAACAATTCTAAGCTAAGGATGGGTTTTAGGATGCAGGGTTGATGAGTAGGATTCTTCAAGACAAAACCAATGCCAAGGATCCCAAAGAAGGGATCATAGGGAGGAAGGCATGGGTAGGGCATCTGAGCGATTGGGCCGCTGGGTTCAGGGGCGAAAGGCAACTTGAGGCTATGAATCGTCTAACAAATCCGAAGGCTATAATAGTCATAAGGACCCATAGGGTAAAAGAAACCGGGTATAATTAGGAACCCGCAAAGCCCTAAACCCTAAACCTTAAACCCTAAACTCCAAACCCTAAATTCCTAAACTCCTAAAACCCTAAACCTTAAACCCTTAAAAGAAACCCTTGCTCTTCCATTTCCCTCTTCAGTTTCCACACCGGCATTGGATTCCGCTTCAGAAGCCGACGCTCTATCTTTAACTCCTTGCTCTTGTGGCCATCGCATGACCCAGCTGGAGACATTGTCGATCTCATTCCCTAAGGGTCCAAGTACCCAAACAGTAGGGTTTCAAGGTCCAAAAATCATTCAGAGTATGGATTTTGGGACATAAAGCCCTACTATTTGGGTACTTGGACCCTCTGGGATTGTCGGGCTTAAGGAGCTTGTCGAGCAGCTCGCAGACGTTTAGGGTTTAGGGCTTAGGCCCTAAATCCTAAGCCCTAAACCCTAAACCGTGCGAAGGGTGCAGCTGGATGTTCAACACAGCCTGGTCTGCATCGGAGAACTGAATAAAGAATGTCTGTCCACTTCTTTTGGACAACTGGAACATAAGATATTAAGTTAGTAACACCTTAACCTCTTATAACCTACCTTTTGAAGGACTTATATACGGAAATCATACTAGGGAACCGTAAAAAAGGAAGGCTTTATAGGGTCCAGGTCAGTCCCCTATATACATTTTTAATCCTATATAATAGCCGCCCTTATAGACCCCTTTAAAGGAACCCTAAACCCTAAGCTCTAAGCCTATTCTAATTGTAAAGGCCCCTATGATAGCCCTTACAGACCCCTTTAAAAGGAACCCTATACCCTAAACTCTAAGCCCATTCTGATTATAAAGGCCCCTACGTTAAGTCTAGCTTCTTGGATGCCTTGGCTGGCTCGGGTGGCTCGGGTTTACGCGACTGAGGAGTCGGTATAGGGACCCAAAAGGACATCAGCCTAAGCATTTTATAGGGATATCCCTACCTTCTTGAGCTTCTTATAAGGGGGTCTATATGGATTCACTTCTTCAGAATCTGAAAGGTACCCAGACCCTCTGAAATCCTTACTGGTAAAGCAGGAAGTATACCTTAAATCATAGCAGGATCCCTAAAATGATTTAAGGAAAACTCCTTAATTGAGGGATTCTTGGGAAGGTCCGGGTCGCCCTTACAGCTAGCCACAGCACCCTCGACCTAGAAGCGGCGAACCTTAAACCATGGACCCAAAAGAGCAGACTATACCCCTAAATTTCGGAATATTCCTTAAATCATATTAGGGGCCCTACTATAGTTTTTAGGGTATATGAGGGTTATGGGTTTAGGGTCCTACTATAGTTTTTAGAATATGTGAGGGTTAAGGGTTTAGGGTCGGTCCTACTGTAATTTTTAGGGTATATGAGTGTTGGGGATCCTACTATAGTTTTTAGGGTATATGAGGGTCTAGGGTTTACATTGTATTGTCCCTGGGGACATCAGAGCCGGGTCACTTGTGCGCAGCTGCTGATTGGCAATCCTGGGGTCGACGCGCTGCTTTACCCGGAGATTCCCAAAGCCCTCGATTGGGAAATAAACTCGTTTTAGGGTTTGGGGTTAAACCATATAACAAGAGTCTCATTAAACCCTATAAACCCTTAGCCCCCAAACCCCAAGTAAAGCATTTATTAAGCGGTGCGGGGCGACCAGACCTTCCAAAATCCGTCAATTAAGGAATGTTCCTTATCTCAGATGTCTCTCGGTATGGGCTTCCATGACCCCTCCCAGGGCGGAAAAAAAACAGTTGAAAGCGGGCAAGCCTACGCCCGCAGACCCGCCAAAAAAACTACGCTCATTTGGTGCATTAAGGGTCCCTTTAAGGGTTCGTCTAAGGGCACCATAAGGGTTTCGCATTTAGGGTGTGAATGTCCATGTGCCAGTACGGTCTTTACTGAGGTCCCTATTTTGGGTACGTTCGGGCCTAGGTATGTACCATGTGGGCACATGGAGCCTGAGGGTTTACTTGAAGAAGCCTGAAAGTTTGAAAGAAGCCTGTGATCCGGAAGCTTTAAACCACAAAAACCGGCACCCTATATGAACTTTCAACCTGATTCCCCAAAAATTGCAATCTGATCTTGCCGTCTCGCTTGTGCTTGGCATTGAAGTAGTTGCCTCAGTTGCCTCGGAAGAGCAAATGCAACCTTTCATTGTACACTCTGTTCCTTTGGTCTTCGTCAGAATGAGAAGCGGTATCAGTGATCCGACGGCAATCGTGCGTCCACAGGACTTCCATCCCAATGATGTCATCGATCAGCACCCATCCTCCTTCATCATATTTGATGATGTTCTGGAAAATTGCGTAGCCTCTTGTGTCCAACCACGTGGTGCTAGCGACTCGTGCAATGCGATGTCGGAGATCAGATTGTATACATGAGAGGGCCCATTTTGCGTTGTGTATGGTTTGATGGGTCAAGTTCCTCCAGACGACATGGTCCCCAAACGCCACAAAAAAGTAGGCTACGATCCCTTAATTATTTTGTAGGGTTTCACCTTAACCCTGTACATCCCTAAACCCCTAAGCCCCAAAACCCCTAAGCCCTAAACCCTATACTACCCCCAAACCCCAAAGCCCTAAACCCGTAAGCCCTAAACCCCTTAAAACCTATACATCCCTATGCCCCTAAGCCCTAAACCCCTGAGCGCTACACCCTATATATCCCTTAACTTAATTTTCGGAAGCCTTCAAGGAACCCCTATAGATCCCGTTAAAGGAAACCCGAAGCCCTAAACCCTTACACCCTTGTCCTTTTTAGAAATAATAGACAGAGCCCAATAGCCTATACCTATATCCCTTAGTAGGAATTATTTAAGAAGGTCTACGTTTATTCTTTTGGGGGAACCATGAAACAGGATAAGGCTAAACCCTTAAGAGACCCTGACCCTGAGCTCAGGCGGCGGCCAGAAGACGCAGTCTTCGCCTCAATGAGCCGGGATTGGAACTCAGAGACTCTTAGTAATCCCGTTTAAAGAGATGCCTAGGGTTCCTTTAAGGAGATACCTGGGGTTCGTTTAGAGGGTTCTGTAGGAGTTTATAGGGTTCCCTTTAAAGAGATACCTGGGGTTCCTTTTAAGGCTTCTGTAGGAGTTTAAAGGGTTCCCTTTAAAGAGATACCTGGGGTTCCTTTCAGGGTTCTGCAGGAGTTCATAGGGTTCCGTGTAAAGGGATGCCTAGGGTTCCTTTTGGGGGTTTATCGGGTTCCTTTAAGGGGATCTGTAAGGGTTCCCTTCAGGGCTCCTATAAGAGATTTAGGGGTTTTAGGGTACCCAAAGACTCCAATATCCCCCAACTAAGGACTATACCTTAATTATTTGGGATTGCAGGATCCCTCATATGATTTCAGGAATATCTTCCTTGAACCACACTAGGGATCCTGCTAGAATTTAAGGTGCATTCCTGAATTCAGGGATATTGGAGTCTCTGGGTTCTCTTAGAGATCAGACGGCAGGGTCTAGTTTGGGGTTGAGGATGCAGGGTTCAGGGTTTAGGCTTTAGGGCTGGCTTTCAGGTTTACTTACCTTTGGTTAGTAGGGAATGGAGGAATGGTAGTAATAGTAGTTATAGTTGTACCCCATTCCTCCACTCCCTACTAACCAAAGGTAAGTTTAGCTGTGATGTAAGAGAAACCCTAAACAACCCACAGTCCGGGGCACGTAAGGTTTAACAAAAACAAAGCCTCTAAACCCTCAACCTGTAGGCCCGAGACCTTACGGCAAACGCCTGCATTGGGGACATGGACGCAGATCGCTCTGGAGACTGATATCATGCAAACATGACGGAAGCGTGACCAGGGCCCCCCAAAAAGCACATAAGCAAAAATTAGGATAGGGATATCCACATGTAAGTCCCTTGTAACCATGAAGCACAATAATGTAGGAATATCCCTATAAAATGCTTATGCTTATGTCCTTCTTGGGCCTAATGACTATTGCCTGGGGATGCAAAAGCTTCCTGTTCTGGGTGATATACCCTGTAGTTTTACAGGTGGTGGTTGTAGTAGGGGAGAAGATAAAGCTTTGGCACAAACAAAAGGCATGCAAAGAAAACAGCATAAAACAAGAGCGCATTCTGTGCAAACAGCAACCCCTAACGTGGTTGCCAAATCAACATTCGATCGCTGCAACGCAAGCAAGTAAGAATGAATATGGGAGATTCCGAAAATTGGGGACCCCAATAGAGTACCCTAGATAGTAAGATCCTTATTATAAGGACCCCAAAATAAGGTACCCCTAATTTTCGGAAACTCCCATATATGATGAAGAAAAGCGCCATTCGGGGTCTTGGAACAAGGTGATGCTGCCAAAACAATCCGAAATTGACAAGCATTCCACCGGTCCCGTTGAGGGTTTGGCCCCTATAAACCCTAAGCCGTAAGGGTTTATATCGGCTGAGAAACACTCACGGACGAAGACGGAGGATTCGCATGGGCCTTAGATGGCGGCAAAGTCACTCGAGCTTCTCGTGTTTTCGGATGCAAAGGCCAACGTGGAGGGTTTAGGGCTCAGGGTTGGGGTGGAGTCTTAAAACTGAGGATAGCCTGAATGAAGTTGTGAGGAGCTTGCAGAGTCTAAAGGCTAGGAGTTCGGTTTGGATGAGCTTGGAGGGCTACTATAGATGTTACCAAGGGTTGAGGGCAAACTAAGAAATTGACCTTAAATTGTTGTAGGGTCCCTAATAATATGATGAAAGGTATATCCCTTAATTACAGGATTTTCGGTTGTCTAGAGTGAATACGTAACTTTGAGGCTCCCATCATAACCCTCAACCCTACCTACAACCTACGCCCTAAAACCCTAAACCGTCATCCGAATGTCTGCAGGCCCCGACTCCGGGATGAGCTTGGAATTTATATACCACTATGGGCTATTGGACCTTAAGGGTACCTCAATCTACCCTTAATAGGGTCCTAATAGGGATGTTTAGGGTCTAATAGCCCATAGTGGTAGGGGCCTCAACAATTAGAATGGGGCTTCACGGGTATATGATACTACAATGATAATAGGGATCCTCGAAATAGCAATGACGCCAAACCGCGCCCGGCACAGCATCGCACCCTCGGACTTAGCACGGGACCGATGAGGATCGTGCACCTCTTGCCTCGGTGTAGACATCTGGTAGCTTCCGAAAATTAGGGGTACCTTAGGGTTCCTTTAAAAGGGGACTAGGGTACTATAAGGGTTCCTTTAAAGGGGCTCTATAAGGGTTTAGAGTTTCCGAAAATTAAGGGTACCTTGTTTGGGGGTCCCTATAATGGGGGCCCTACTATTTAGGGTACTATATTAGGGTCCCCTATTTTCGGAAACTCCCACCTCTCGTGCAGGTTTAAAACCCTAAGGCTCCGTGTACGTACCCATATAGCAGATACTTAGGCCTTTAAAGTACCAATACAGGGATCCGTTTGAGGCTTAAGTATCTACTATAAAGGTACATGGAGCCTTTGGGAAAGGGTTTAGGTGTGGTGCGCTGCTGCAGCAGACCGAATAGCCAAAGCACACAAGCTCTGAATTAGTCGACGTTAAACCAGTTGATGGTGTCGTCTGCTGGCTGCTTCCGCACAGGAGCACTGTTGGGAATAAGGTTGAAAACCGAAAGGGGGGAACAGACTCTACACCAAAAACTTCGCAGAGAACACATCAACACACTAAGCCACACACCCCAAACACCAAGCTCTTATCGAGAACTACGAAGCCTCTGTCGGAGGTTCGAAATTACCTAAACCCGAACCTCTACACCCTACAGACCCTCAACTCTAAACGTTCAACGCCAACCAAAAACCCCCGAAGTCTCAGACTCTAGCATTCATCAACGAAGACTTGGCTGGTCACATCGCAAATGTAGACCTTTCAGGGAGTCCCCCTGCGGTTGGTGAAGGTATTTCGGGTTCAGAGTTCAGGATTCCAGTTCCAGGGTCTAGGTCTAGGGCTTCACGGTTTTAATAGCTTAGTGAGTTAAGGATCTAAAACATAGGGCCTGGATCTAGAGGAAGGATCTTGATATGCTGTTTGAGTGTAAGGGTACCTTTACAGGATCTAACTTATATGAAAAAGCCTAAACCCTAAACCCTAATCCTAAACCCGAAAATCGCAGATTTCCTGTGTTGGGATCTTGAGGAGCTTGCTTGAAAGGGATGCCACTGCAATGTCACCACCTGCGGATCCCCAAACCTATGGCAAGGCTTACCCATCAGCTAAGTTACCTATAGTCTCCATTGTAGTTCCTTTTTTTGGTTAACAAAAATCTCTATTATAGGATCCTAACCATAGAACTGGTTATATAACAAAAAAAAGAAATAACAATGGAGACTATAGGTAATACGGTTCGGAGCACTCCCAGGGGCTTGATATGTACTTTTGAAGCTGCCCCCACCCTGTAATAGTGACTTAAGGATTATATTAGGGCCCGATTATATTCCTGTCACACCACTATTACAGGGTGGGGGCCCCTTCTAATATATACTACTATTATGGCATTATGGCACCCTATCCCAAAAACCATAATAAAGATGGTCTTTTGGGGCGTAATTTCATACAGGCAGTCTAGACCTAAGAGGAACCTAGGACTAAAAGGGGTTCCCTTTTTGGTTTAAAGTGGGTTGTATGGGAACCTAAACCCTAAAAACGGTAATACGGGCCTACCCTGAGTCCTAGTAGCAATTATATATATATATATATATATACAAAGAAATAAATGCATATCGATAGATATATATGGACCCTCTGGGTCTACGAAGGGCCAGAGCCTCGTTTTCTCTTTATCCTAGAGGCTAAGACTTAAGCCCTCATCCCCATTATTGATCAAGAGGTTCCATATGCATTACTATTGTGCAATTCGGCCCCGCAGAACCATGATGGGGATGGTCTTTTAGAGATTAACTCCATAATTGTAGTGTATATGGACCCTCTGGATGAGGTGTTACCTGTAACTGTAGCCTCAAACCTTACAACAAGTCAGGCTATGGCTCATGACCCCTTAGTTTTCGGGTCTAACCCTTAACGATAGGTGTTCGGATTCACAGTCAAGGTTTAGTCCGACGTGTCACTTGTGGCCCCAACTCCCGTTTGGTTCTGCAGCTACCTTTCTTGTTGGGCCCGTCGTCGGCTCAACGCATCAAACCTTTGACACTGACGCCCTAAACCTTGCACCGCAATGCGCTATGGGCTGCCCCTCCTCGCTCTCACCACTGAACCCTCCCTAGCCCCTTAACCCCTAAAACCCTGAACTCCTAAACCCTAGACCCCAAAAAAACCAAACCCCTAAAACCCCCAAAACCCGTAAACCCTACAGATCATCTTATAGATCCCTTAATTATAGGAAGCCTTTAAGGGAACGCCTATAGATCCCTTCAAAGGAATCCCTAAAACCCTAAACCCCAACACCCGAAACCGCACAAGACTAAAAAAGAAATCCCTTTTAGAACCCTAGTAGATCCCTTCAAAAGAACCATAGATAGAATCCCATAGAACCCTTATAGATCCCTTTAAAAGGAACCCCTAAACCCTGAGCTTGCCATCTGAGAGTGCAAGTGAAAACACGAACACACGAAAACGCACGCCACCAGGGCGTGATGTTCTGTAAACCCCCCTAAACCCCCCGCCCCCAAACCTCGCTGTCGTCGCACACTTCCACATGGAGGTCCACGAGTTGAGCCGAGCTAAGCCTCGGCTTTGGAAAAGACTTACCTTTGAAGGGATCTATAGGGGTCTAGGGTTCCTTTAAAGGGATCTATAGGGGTTTAGGGTTCCTTACAAGGGATACTTACCTTTGGTTAGTAGGGAATGGAGGAATTGGTTACAATTATACCTACTATTACTACCATTCTTCCATTCCCTAGTAACCACTATGGGCCATTAGACCCTAAAGATCCGTATTAGGACCCTATTAAGGGTAGATTAAGGTACCCTTAAGGTCTAATAGCCCATAGTGGTAACCAAAATTAAGAAGAAGGCTCGGTAAAAAGAGCTTCTCTAAGGGAGATCCTAGGCTTCCCAGGCACTGCTAGGGCTCCTTTAAGGGATCTACAAGGGATCTATAGGGTTTAGGATTTAGGGGTTCCCTTTAAAGGCTTCCTATAATTAAGGGATCTATAGGGTTTAGGGGTCAGGGGTTTTAGGGGTTAGGGGTTTAGGTCATGCAGGGGCCTTGGGAGAGTTCCTTAAGGGTTCCATTAAGGGATCTGTAAGGGGTCTTTGGGGGTTTAGGGTTTATGGCTTTGGGTTTAGGGCTTTATTACGGTTCCTTTACATGGATCCATAGTTTGGGACTTTAGGGCTTTATTACGGTTCCGTTAAAGGGATCCGAAAGGTACAGGGTTTAGGGGTTAGGGCTTGAGGGCTTTATCAGCGTTCCTTTACAGGAATCCATTGGGGTTTAGGGTTTAGGGCTTTATTTGGGGTTCCTTGCAAGCGATACATAAGGGTACTGTAAGGGATTTAGGGTTTAGGCTTAGGCTGCAAGGTTTATAAAGTTTAGGGTGTAGGGATTTAGGGTTTAGAGGTTTTAAGATTTAGGGGTCTATGGGTGTAGGGTTAGGGGTTTAAAGGCCTAGCGTTAGGGGTTTAAGAGTTTAGGGTTTAGGGATTCGGGGTCCTGGCTTCGCTGATGGCGTCGGGGTCCTGGCTTCGCTGATGGCGTTCCGTCTAGGGTTCCTTTCAGGGCTCTTCAACGTATGCATAAGGGACCATAAGGGACCATAGGGGTATCAGGACAAGGGTCCCTGCGGCCACCTAGTAAGCATTTTGGCCCTGAAGTGCCGGATGTACAGTAACTGTACAATTACTCGCTGCTCGCACCGTCTCACCCGCATTGTATCGTAACAGTTTGTACAGCTCTGCAGTGCGCTCGTAGTGGCCATTCGAAGTCTTTGCATTGGTCTTGCCCGTCTCATCACTCCTATACCCTCAACCCTACAGCCGAAACCAGGCAGTGCTAGTGTTTCCAAGGGCAGGGCGAGCCAGGCTTTCGGATGACGATCGCCGACTTGCCTGCCAAGAAATCGATTCTCGGGGCTCTAAGAACATCACCCTAAAAATTCCAGACCGGGCATTGGAAGTTTGTGAAGCCGAAACCCCTTGAGAAACGAGTATATAGTAGATTTCTGTCCGAGAACTGGAGCAGGAGGATTACTAACATGTGTGTGTGTGTGTGTGTGTGTCTGTACGTGTATGTGTATGCGTATGTATATGTATGTATGTATGTATGTATGTTTGTTTGTATATGTACATGTATATGTATATGTATATGTATATGTATATATGTATATGTATATGTATATGTATATGTATGTGTATGTGTATGTGTATGTCTATGTCTATGTCTATGTGTATGTGTATATGAATATGAATATGTATATGTACATGTATATGTATATGTATATGTATATGTATATATGTATGATTGCATATCTGCATGGAAGTATGTAAGTATGCAAGTATCTGTGTATGGATGCATGTAAGTATGTACATATGTGGGTTTCAGAACTTCCATGTGTATGCATGTATGTCTGTATGTATGTACGTATGTATGTAAGCACGCATCTGCGCATCCATCTTGAAATATGAATGCTTGCATTCATGCATGGGTGTGCGTCTGTGTGTGTATGCGCGTGCGTGCGTGCATGTGTGCGTGTGTGCGAACTAGATGCACAAGCATCTGTTTACGCGGATATGCATGTATGAAGATGTATATGTTTACGTTTCTGCATATGTGTATGTATAGGTACCGGTGCATGCATATATGGTCAGGCGTCTGGCGTTCCCAGCCCCCCCCCCCCCCAATGGTATGGTCTGACAGGGGTGGGGGGGGGGGGGGCTGGCGTGTGCGGAAAGGGGTTGGGGCCGTTGGAGCTGCCACTGGATGGTGGGGTGGTGCTGGCGGCCAGGGCTCACGCGCAAGCCCTTCGCAAGCAAGCCGTAAACCCTATGACGCAGCGCGTGCCCCGTTTTGAGCAACCTTAACTTGTACTTAAAACGCTACACCCAACCCTAAACCCCACCTAACTGCAGGCTCTAAGCCTAAAGCAGAGCATACACCGCAAATCCTCCCTAAGCCCTTGTCGACTCGAAGCCTTATACCTTGTAACCGTAAACCCAAAACTCAAAAGCTTAAGCTAAACCCAAACCCCAAAACCCCACAACCACCCCACAGGGGGAAGAGGAACCCCACACCCCACACCACAGGGGAGGGGGGGGCCCCACCCTATATCCGGACCATTGACCTTTGGGCGGGGAGGGGGGGGGGGGGCTGCGGAGCGCGTGACCATATATGTGTACATATATGTGTATGTGCTTAAATATAAAAATAAATAAATAAATACATAAATAAATTAATACACACATAAATGAATAAATAAATAAACAAATAAATAAATAAATAAATAAGTAAATAAATAAGTAAATAAATAAATAGATACATAATATGTTTGTTATTATGTTTGTCTATTGTAAATGTAAATGTATATGTATACGTGTATGGAGAGGTGCAGGATGGTGCAGGTACTCGGCAAGCCATATGTGCATACGTGTGTATGCATGCATTATCACTGGCATAAAAGTCCGGAGGCTCCCATGCCTTCTGGCCTGTTGCCTATAGCTCTCATACATGAACCCTTTTCCAAAATACATGTGCTGTCTGCAAGCAACAGCTGAGCATGCGGCGATCGCAAATCATGAAGGGATTCAGACCTCGCATGATTAAAGCCGGCCCGCGGTGTCATTCATTCTTGCGCACAAGGGCTTGGAGCTTCAAGGTTTGCGCGCAGGCTTAATGCTGTGGGTTCAGGTTCCGGTTCCGAGGTTCCGGGGTTGGGAGGGAGGCTCGGAGGTCCGTGTTGTTTGAGTGGGGCGGGATTAAAATCCTGATTCGGGCTCGGGGTTCGGATTAGGCTCCCTATGATCGTTTCAACAGAAGGATTGAACATGAGATGTTATCAAGTTCCGTAGGGTTTAATTAGGGCATTTGCGATAAAGACTCCAAAGCGATGCTGCTACTAGTTGTTCAAGCTCCATGTGATTCTGCGGGAATGCCATCCTAAAACATGAACCCTGAATCCCAAACCCCTATATCATATTCCAAAGCCGTGGAAAAAGACACACACACACACAAATCCTACCACCCAAAAAACACGACACCAAAAGCCTCAAATCCTAAAGCCAAAATCCCGGACACTAAAACCTAAAAGCCTCAAATCCTAAAGTCAAAACCCCGCACACTAAACTCCTGTACTAGAGCACCCCTACAGAGTCCGTTCAGGATTGCAGGAACCCCTAAACCCTAAACCCTAAAAGCCCATCATCTGGGCCGGCAGCTTGCGTAGCCTTTCTTCAAGTCTTGGAGCGTCAAGGACTCCCTGCCTGCGGGTTTTCGGGGTGTTTAGGGGCATTTCCTAAGGGCTTCATGTACTCAAATACTATATACTTTGGGCCGAATGTACATATGTAGGGAGTACTTGAGGCCAAAGTATATACTATTTGGGTACATGGACCCTTAGGGATTCGGGTCCGCTATTCGGGTTTAGCGTTTGGGGTCTGATGGTTCGGGGTTTTCGATGATAGAGCGACGCCTCAAGGGGCCCAGGGCGGCAAAAGGGGGCTCCTTCAGAGAGTCCTAAGGGCTACTGTATGGGGCACTCTGAGGGTTTAGTACCAGGCCATTAGTAATTAATTGTCATGGGGTTGGGCAACCACAAGGATTTCTCGGGAATAATGCTACTGCTTACTCACACTGCCATAATTCATATTACTTAAACAAATAAACTACAACTGTTGAAGTAATGCCCTCCAAGTATCTCACGATTCCTTGCCGACTTTTCTTCAAGGGCTGCAAACTGAAGGGCTTCAGGGTTTAAGAACAAGCGTGTGTAAAGTGCGCACTATAGGGGTCCTAATCACTGAATGTGCTTCTCCTTATGCGGTTTTGTGAGTCTGTAACACGGTGCAAAAAAAAGCTGGCAACTGCTGCAACGCTGCCAGGGGGAGGAATCTCGTCAAGCTGATTTAGTTTCGCGGAAAGCAAGACTTTGTGATGGCTACTTGTAGAAAGACAAAGCCCTAAACATTTGCGTTCTCGAGTCTCGAACAAAACTTAAAATCCTAAACCCAAAACCAACCCTAAAACCCCAAAAACCTAAACCCGAAACCTGAAACCCAAAACTCTAAACCCTAAAAAAGAACATCGATCGTAACTGGGATTGCTCCATACCCTAAGGGTCCTAACACTTTGAGGAACCTCACAATGTAGGATTTCTGAGACCCAAAGAGACCCAAGGACTCTCCCTAAAACATTCCGGACCCTCCTAAGGAGATACCTGGACCCTTAGGGTCGGGTTATGATAGGAGCCTCCAAGTTACGCATTCACCCTAGACTTTGGAAAATTCTGTAACTAAGGAAGATACCTGCAATCATATTCGGGATCCTTCGCTAAACCCTAATTAATCTGAAATCATGGTAAGGCAAAGAGATGTACGCGGAGGGGAACCGGCCCGAAAGTTCGGGGTTCAGGATGCTTAAAGGTTTAGAGTTTTAGGGATTTTATGGTTTTAGGGTTTAAGGTTTAGAGTTTTAGGGATTAGGGTTTGAGGGTTTAAGGTTGTAGGGTTTAGAGTTTTAGGGATTAGGGTTCAGGGTTTAAGGGTTCAGGATGCTTAAGGTTAAGAGTTTTAGGGTTTTGAGTTTTAGGGATTAGTGTTTTAGGGATTAGGGCTCTAGGTTTTTAGGGTTTAGAGTTTCAGGGTTTAGGGTTTCAGCGTTTAAGGTTTTAGGGCTTAGGGTGTCTTGGTTACTTGGTTTCTTTGCTATAGCTTGCACCTCAATGTCTAGAACAGGGCTTTAGGGATCATCGATCGTAGTCAATAATAGAGAACTTGACGAAAAAAGTATTACCCTAAACTCTTAAAACCAAACCGATGCCCGAAAGATGCCCGAAAGCCTTCTCCATACTGCTCGAAGAATGCCCTGGCTTCGGCCTGCCATGTCAGGCGTGTGTTTTGGGTGTGGGGGTCTGGAACCCTAAGGGTGCAAGTACCCAAATAGTAGGGTTTCAAGGCCCAAAAACCATTCAGAGTATGGATTTTGGGACTTAAAACCCTACTATTTGGGTACTTGCACCCTCTGGGGAAGTTTCCCTAAGGGTCCATGTACCTTTATAGTAGATACATAAGCCTGATAAGGGTTCCCTATATAGGCACTTAAGGGCCTATACTAGATGGGCACATGGACCCTTAGGGAAAATCTCGGGGTTATGCAAGTCAGGTTTGGAAGCTTGGGATCTGGCATTTGCGGGTGAAGCCTTTGGGGCTTAATAGGAGTTCCGGGTTTAGGGGCTTGGGATGTCATGGGGATTAAAACTTTGAGTTGAAGGCGTCGGGATCTAGGCTCTGTCGTTAGGATCCTGCATTGGCTTTTGACGGCCCGTTGTCGCTTGGCTAGTACCAGCAAGAACAATGATTGGCCACTGCAAGGACACGTACGGACAGTGATAATGTTATTCCCAAGCATATTCTCATCAGTTTTGCGGAACAGGTAGTATCTACAACAATATTCTCAACAGTTTTGAGGTACAAGTAGTATCTATTGAAGCTGTCTTTGACACCTACAATGATAACGCAGAGCAGCACTGACCGCCGTAAAGCATATATCCGCCATTGCAAAGGTAACGGTAAAAGTAAGGCAGCTAAAGCTAGCAATAGTCTTAGGAACACTTGCCTTAAGAAAAGTTGGCATAGTCACCGTAATCAGAAACCCTAAACCTCTGCAGCCTTTCTAGGGATAGTGAAACTTATAGTACACGATAGAAATACTACATTGCCACAATCGTATTTTAATAGTACATGAGCAGTTCCCGGCATTATGGTCCCTCTTCAGGTCCCCGGTCCAAATGCTCGGCACCCTCGTAAAACGGACCCAAAAAGGGACCCTGATTTTGAGAACTGCCCATAGAATCATGAGATTGTGAGTACTAATAGCACCAAACCTTAAACCCCCCAAACCTAAAACACTAATGAAACTAAATTAACCTTGAAACCCTAAACCTTAAACTTGAAACCTAAACTTCAACCCCTAAACTTCGAACCTTAAACCCTAAACTTCAAACCATAAACCCTATTAGCATAATAGTATTGAACCCCTGAGGCACCGGGCGAGTCCGAAGCCTAAATGATCGCAAAGGAAGCCCAGGAGATCTTCGAAGGTCGCAGCCTTAGCGACACAGAGACTATAGATCCCTTTACCCTGGGCATCAAAATAGCCCAAAAGCCTTATATAGTATGGTCTTTGGGCCCAAAAGCCTTATAATATGAGTCCTTAGATGCCTAGGGTTACAAGGGATCTATAAGGGTTCCGAAGTTCCTAGAAGGGCTCTGTGGGGTCTAGGTATGTAGTGACCCGGGTTTAGGGGTTAGGACTTTAGGGTTCAGTTTTAGCGGTCAGGGTTCCAACTACCCTCTATTATACCCTAAATACCTACTATTAAGGAACATATGGGCTCTATTAAAGGGTAGGTGGAGGGCTGTAAAGTTGTCAGTCAAGCGTGGCATGTAGAGTGTAGAGTTTTAGGGTTTTGGGGGGGCTCCTTCCTGGGTTCTCGGGTTTAGGTCAGAAGGGGCCCCCACCCTGTAATAGTGACCATAAGGATTATATAGGATTATACTAGGGCCCTATTATATTCCTATTATACCACTATTACAGGGTGGGGGCAGCTTCTAAGGTTTAGGGCTATTGCCCGATCAAAGCTTTAGTCTTTCGGGCCTTTGCACCATGGCTTGGAGTTGGGGGAGTTCGTGGTTCAGCGATTTACCAGGACCCTCCTTGTACCCTAAAATACAGTAGAAGCCGGAAAGTTGGAATATCAATATCATAATCCCTTTAAGGTAAATTATAGGGGATCCTGCCATTATTTCATATTCCAACTTTCTGGAGTTCCCTGTAGGGGTATATGGTCCCAAATAAGGGGCATTTAGGGTCTAATAGAGGGTAGATGGAGGGTCTAGGTAGATTGCAAGAAAGAGCGTTCGGAGTTTTCAGAGGGGGGTGTTAGGGATTTAGGGCTTGGGGGTTCAAGCACTTAGGGGTTCAGGGCTCGGGGCTGGGTTCGGGGCTTGGCTTCGGACTTAAACTAGGCCACTCTTGCACCGGCCTAAGCAAGTACGACAAGAACCTGTATCTCCAAACCCTAAAAAATAGTAGCTTATGACCCCTTAATTAGAAGGTAAAACCCTTAAAACGGTAGGGTTTTCGGATCCCAAGGAAGGAAGGTCCCCACAGTTACCAGATCTTTGTAACCTCATTCTAACATGCGCGCGAACCGCTATACCTACATGAGCCTTCAAGCAGATAGCCACGACCCGTATTACCTGTTAGCCAAAACCTGCAACCCTAAACCCGAAACCCCTTCACGCGTGAACCCCGAAGATGTCCCAAACAAGGAACCCTCAGTGTCCACACGCCCAAATGGTATATGCTTTGGCCTTAAAGTAGTCCGTCTATGGTTGCTTCGGAGGCAAAGTATATACTATGTTGGAACATGGACCCTTACATCCTATAAAAACCTAAGCAATTCTAGAACCTTCAAAGAAGCCCTTGGAGGAACTCCTAACTAGACCTAAGAGTAACCTAGGAATAAAAAGGGTGCCCTTTTTGGTTAAAAGGTGGTTATAAGGGAACCTGAAACCTTAAAAAGGGAATAAGGGCCTACTCCGGATCCTAGTAACAGGAGCCCTTGAAGGTAAATGGACCCCGAGGGGAACCTAAAACTCAGCTTCCCACGAGACGCCACTGACCCCTAATTAAAGCATATACCTAAATCACCCTAAGGGTCCATGTACCCAAATAGTATATACTTTGGGCCCAATGTACCCATATAGGGGGTACTTTAAGGCCAATGTATATACTATTTAGGTACATGGACCCTTAGGGTCATACTAGGGGCTACTATGATAGTTTAAGATAGGAGTAATTCTTATATAGAGCCCTCATAGATCCCTTCATATTTAAGGAACCCTTGGGTATATTCCTTAATCGGAGGAAATATTGGGGTCTCTGGGTTTAAGCAGCCAAGGCTCTCCTGTCTTCGTGATGTCATCGAAGACCTCTGCGGTGTCAGCAGCGGTTTAAGGCTTAGGGGTCTAGGGGTTTAGGGCTTAGGGGTTTAGGGTTGAGGAGGTTTAGGGTTTAGGGCTTAGGGCCAAGGGTTTTATGCTTCATGGTCCAGGGTTTCGGGGTTCAGGGGTTTAAATACGGATTTAGGGTTTAGGGCCAGAAGGTATAGGGTCGTTTCGGATTTTTGGGGTTTGGGATCTCGGATATCGGGTTCAAGGGCATATCAACACATCCCGAATTAGGTCCAGGGACTCATCCGCACGTAAGGCATGTTGGTGGTTCGGGGCATGTGTTGTGAAGAACCAGACCTTCCCGCTTTAATTCTTGTATATTTAGGGTTTATGGTTACGGATTTTAAGTTATTAGGGGTCAAGAATTTGGGCTGAGGGCCCTATGCAGAGTGAACCCTGTGTCCCTAGGACCGCAAGCTTGCGAATCAAGATCTCAAGTCGCTAAGGGTTACGGGTTTGGGTCTTAGGGTTCAGGTCTTAGGCGTAGTTGTGAGCCCTGACAACCGTGGAGTGTTAGTATCATGACAACAAAAAATCCTAAGAACGCCGAGGCATAGGTAGCCTGTTGAAAAAACACACGAAGCGACTAGGCGGTCATCGGCCATCTGGCCGCCCATCGGCTGCGTTTCAAGATCCATGTTTTCGTAACCCTATAAGGGTCCATGTACCTAAATAGTATATACATTGGCCTTAAAGTACTCCCTATATGGGTACATTGGGCCCAAAGTATATACTATTTGGGTACATGAGGGTGACAAGCTCGCTTGGCCCCTTTAGCCAATACTTGCAGAGACTTGGCCTGTCGAGTGTACCATGACTGCCATGACTCATTAGGGTCGATGGCCGGAGCTAGTTGCAGCTGCACAACCAACTTCTTGGAATAACTAAGAAACTTACTGAAAGTTAACAACATGCGCTTGTCACACAAAAGCCTTGTTCCACCATAATACAGCTCTGTAATACCCCATGACCATCTCGCCTCGCGGCTTTGAAGGATCTTTATAACCCTCAACATGTAAACCCTCAACATCCCTTCACCCTAAATCCTTCGGGACCCCAGACCGCAACCGTGACAGAAGGTATATTGGATACCCACCACCACGGCCACAGCTACGTAAATAGTTTAGTAGGATATTGGCAATGTGTGATTCAACGCTGTGAGCCATTCTTTGGGAGCTCAACGAAAAAATGCACCCGCATTCTAAACCCTACACCCCCAAGCCTAAACCATGATGCCTTGAATACCAAACAAGACACCCTGTGAACTCTAAACCCTGAACTCCAGGCCAGAAGCCCCAAAAGCCCAAACCCTAGCACCTTATAGATCCCTGAGAGAGCCCGTTAAGAAGCCTTCGTGAACCCTGAACCCTACCTAGAGGCTTGTACCCTACCACTTGTTTAGGATACCTAGTTTTATGGTTGGGATCTGTTATAGAGAAAAGTAGATACCTGAAAAAAGGGGTAGGGTATGAGCCTACAGGTAAACGTAGGGTCGACGACCTTCTTGACCTCCTCCTCTTTGGAAGTCTTCCGGGCGCGAGCAGTGAGAGGAAGGCCAGTGACACCTTGGTGATAGTAGCAGTAGTACCAGCAGTAGTAGTAGTGATAATAATAGTAGTAGTAGTAGTAGTAATAGTAGTAGGAGTAGTAGTAGTAGTAGTAGTCGTAGTCGTAGTCGTAGTCGTAGTAGTAGTAGTAGTAGTAGTAGTAGTAGTAGTAGTAGTAGTAGTAGTAGTAGTAGTAGAAGCCTAGACAGAAGCACACCGCGAAAGCCGTAAGCCATGCCTGAACGGACCTCCCTGGACGTACATCTAGCTTGCATTGCAGTACGTTTTTGGCTTAACAAGCTTCATGTATAGGGACTCTCTAACGTAACCACCAAAAGGGAACCACAAACCTACCCATAGGCCCCAAAGTAGTTCCTTTTTGGGATTACCTTATAGGATTCTATATATGAACCCCAAAAAAGGAACTACTTTGGGGCCTTAGGGTAAACTCTAAACCCAAAAGAACCTGCAACGGAGACTATGGGCCAAACCCCACACCCATCTCAGGCTCCGACGTGTCCTCCGGGTCCGGTCTGTAGGAAAGCTGAACTTGGGAGTTCCCTGCAAAGACAATACTTGGAGGGTCGGGGGGGGACTTCTAAGTACCATAACCCCAATTAGGGTCCCTTTTAGGGTACTTATAAGTCTACTTACTACCTACTTACTAAGTCCCCCGACCCTCCAAGTACATGTAAATATGATGTGTATGTATACATACGGTGGCATGGTGTGAAACGATATGGTGTGACTTGACGTGACATGGTGTTTTATGACCTTACATGTTATATGATATGTTGTGCTGCGGTGTGGAACGGTATGCTATGCCCTATGCTGTGCTACTACACTGTACCGTACTATGTTCTGTTATTATATGTCTTATTCGAGCTTTGTAGGCACAGTGGAGATTCGGCACATGGGGTTAGAGTTCAGCTTTTAAGGTTTCACAAGAAAGACGCACGTCCTGTTCGTCCTAAATCCATCCTGCAAGCAAGCGCTGTTGCATCTATCCCCGGCCCCATGCACAACAAACCCTCCCGCAAACGGTCAACCCTAAACCCGCTCTTCTGTGCCTTGGCGGACTTGGCGGACGTCGGCGTGGCTTGGGAGGAAGTCGGGGTGGAGCCTTACGTCTTTCCAAAGGTCCAAAGGACCAAATAATGAAGTACTCGGTTTTAGGATAGTAGTTATGTAGGTTAGGCTTTTGGAGAGTATATGATTATTAGATACTTGGACCCTTGGGGTTTCGGTGAGTTGCCATATTTTGGGGTTCAGCTTCTGCAAGGGAAGCGAACCCATATTTAAACCGTCTAAGCTCTGTTGCTGTGAGGATTTTTGGCGGCGTCCTTCTTTCGTTGGCATTTCTCCTGGCAGTTGCTGTGGCGTTTGTCATACCAGCGCTTGCGATGCTGGCAGTTATGTGCTGACCTATACTGTACTGCAACGTAAACAAAACCCTAAATCCTAAACTGTTCTAAACCGTGTCAACTGGGGGTGGAGACCCTCGATTTGCGGGTTCCTCGCCTGGTGGGTCCTCCGCCCGAAATGTATTTAGGGGCCTTCAACATTTGAATAGGTTTCGGAATACACCAGGAAAGCAATGCAGGTACAATCAAGACAATCAAGGGAGTGTTACGCACTGCTTGGACCTCTCTTTTCCACGAAAATCGGAGAGGTATCCTTAGCACTTAAAAAACCGAAACCCCTGTACCCGACAACGACATCCTTAGCGATGGCCATCCGTTTCTAGAACCGCTTGAAGAGCCTCAACCAGCCCCTTACAGTTCACGGTTTAGGGTTAAGACCCTTACCCAGAGGCCCAAAAGTGGTTCATTTTTGGGATTACCTTATAATTAGGATTCTATGTAAAGAACCCCACCGCTTAGAGAACTCTTGCCGTTGGAGGTGCTCGGCTTCGGCTGTGTAACCCCAGCTCTGGCAGCCTTCCCATGGTGTGGTGGCACTGTGTCTGTGTCGCGGTGCGCGCTAATATAGCTGAATGTGCATATGTATGTATACGAATATATACATATGATGTTATGAACAAGCGGAAAACTAAATCGAACAACGAATGAGAAACAACAAACACTCACACAACACAACTCGCTATCTGTCTTATGTATATGTAATAGGTATATGTATATGTACAAGTTTATGTATAGGTAAGTATGTACGTAGGTAAGTAATTAGGTAGGTAGGTATGTATGTGTCTGTGTGTCTGTACGTGCTTGTAGTGTCTGTATTCGTGTATGTCTGTGTGGGGGCGTGTTGTATTGGCATCGTTGCTCTGCTTCCTTCTGTGCCTGTGTAGGTCGCTGTGTTCGAGTGCTTTTGCAGTGTTGGGGTGGGGTGCAAAGCTTCAAGTTTTGCAGGGGTCTGGAGCGTGAGATTCCGGATCTTCCGGTTTATGGTTTTGGAAGGTGCAGCAAAATCACATCCTTGGCCCGAAGCTTACGGCTATCGGGCTGCTGCAAACGAGCGACCGTCCTGCTGCAGACATATCCAAAATGCTCAGGATTGAGAAGCGTCAGGGTAAAGGGGAGCCGGGGCATAGGTAGACGGGGTTGCATACCTGTAAACCCTACCTCGGGGATAACTATAGGGATTAGACCCCGGATTAGACCAATATAATTATAAGGGGTCAAAACCCAGCATTTTGTAGGGTTTAGGGATCCAGGTAAACCCTGAACCTTAAACCTATACTGAACTTAGACACCTAGCAACAATTACAGTTTCAGCTGTTTCTGAGGAACTATAGGAACGAAGAACTTAAACATTGTTTCTAAATACCACTGCGAAACCCGCTCCGGAGTGTCAGGAAGTCGTAGGGAGCACACATGGTTTTGCCCCACTTGTGTTTGGGTTTATAAGGGTTTAGGGTTCAGGGTGTAGGGTCTAGTGTTTAGGGTTTAGGGATCGAGGTTTAGGGCTTAGGGTAGTTCCCCCAAGCCCCACTATACCCTAAAGTCCAAACACTACAACGCAACCTACTACCCATATATAGCCTCTTCTTTCTTCTTTCTCTCCTCCTCCTCCTCACGCAGGCGCTGTTCCTGGCTGCAAGAAGCTTCAAGCCCTGGGAATGTTTAAACAACAGACCTGTCTGCACATGTACGTACGTGCCATGCAGCCACGAGTTCAATTATCATTTCCCACGACTGCAACGAACTATCTCCACTTTCTTTCAGAGCTCCTCAATCCGTCCAGCCCTGAACTCATCCAAGGACATGAACCACTAATAGTCAAACCGGACAATCTGTCACCCCGATCCCGAGATACTGCAGCACCCTCAGAAGTCCACGACCCTTGGTTTAGGATGTAGGGGCCCATGGTACCCTAAACCCTAAACCCTAAACCCTAAACCCCAAACCCCAAAACCCCAAACCCCTAAACCCTAAACCCTAAACCCTAAACCCTAATCCCTTGTAGCTTCGAGGACTCCTAAGAACCCCCAAACCCTAACCCCCGAATCCTCACTGGGACACCTTAAACCCTGAATCCTACACCCTCACGGTTTAGGGTTTAGGGTTTAGGGGTTTAGGGTTTAGGGTTTAGGGTAACCCTGAATCCTACACCCTCACGTCTGAGCCTTAAACCCAAACTAGGCCCTTTAGCTTCATTTGTACCTGCGGATCCAAAAACCGATGCTTTTAAGTGTCAGACCCTACATTATGGGGTCATAAGAGTCACAACCTACTATTTTGTGAGGTTTGATATAGGCGCCTTGATAATTTCAATAGGGTTTGGGGGTCCATTATACTATAAGTATAAGAAGGACCCTGCAATCCTATAGGCAGTTCTTAAGGCCTCTATATAAGATTTTCCGAAAATCGGGGACCCTAAGGTAAAAGCCAGAAAGTTGGAATCCGATTGTCCTAACCCTTCTATGGTAAACTATAAGGTATCTTACCCTGAAACCATATTCCAACTTTCTGGAGTTCCCTCTAATATAATACCCTAAATAGTAGGACCCTTATAATAAGGACCCCCAAATAAGGTACCCCGAATTTTCGGAAACTCTAAACCCTGAAAGAGCCCCTTTAAAGGAACCCTTATAGTCCCTAGTCCCCCTTTAAAGGAAGCCTAGGGTACCCCTAATTTTCGGAAACTCCCATATAAGAAGGCTTTTGAGCCGAAACTGCTTCCTGCCCACCGCACCACAACAATCCTTCTTGGTCCCTGATCCTAAGGCTCCATGTTTAGGATTTAAGGGTTTCTTTAAAGGCTTCCTATAATTAAGGGATCTATAGGGTCTAGGGGTTTAGGGGTTTTAGTGGTTTAGAGTTTAGGTAATGTAGGGACCTTAAAAGAGTTCCTTAACCCTAAGGCTCCATGTACCCATATAGTATATACTTAGGCCTTAAGGTACCTACATAGGGACCCCTTTCAGGCTTAAGTATCTACTATAATGGTACATGGAGCATTTGGGTAAGTTCTGTTTCTGTGGCGGGGTTTAAGCCCAGTCTCACACCGTGACGGTCCACGGCCTGGGGTTCTAGTGCTTCGGGTCTTAGGGTTTTTAGTGTTTAGGTTTGAGAGAATGCAGAAGGAGCTCGCTATCAACATGACGCTATGGTGGATACTGTAGATTTCTACCAAAACACAATGTCCTGAAACCCATCTCCCCAAACCCCTGAACTAACTAAGCTCCACTTGCCTACATCAAGATTGACCCCTGTTATAAAGTCCCCAAAAACACTTTTTAAGGAACCGTATAACACCTTCATACAGGAGCCCATGAAAGAAAAGGAACGCTTGCAGAACCCTTAGAACCCGTATAAAGAACCAATAGACAAAAGCAAGAACAACCTACAGAAACCAGTAACCATGATACAACCCCTTAAGGGTTGCTTTAAGGGTTCCTTTAAGGGTGCCCTCAAGGGTTCCTTTACGGGTTCCTTTAAGGTTTCCCTTAACGGAGACTAAATCTTGGCTTCCTGTCGAAGGCCAGCATTTAGGATTTAGGATTTAGGCTTTGGGTTTTAGCTTTATAGGTTCTAGGGTTTAGGGTTTGGGCTTTTACGGCTTTCCTTTCAGGGTGCCCTCAAGGGTTCCTTTACAGGTTCCTTTAAGGTTTCCCTTAACGGAGACTTAATCTTGGCTTCCTGTCGAAGGCCAGCATTTAGGATTTAGGCTTTGGGTTTTAGCTTCTAAGGTTTAGGTTCTAGGGTTTAGGGTTTGGGGTTTGGGCGTTTACGGCATAGGGCAGATCAACCTCGGCTGCCAGGCGCTTGGCTGCCTCCTTCTCCTGAGGGTTGGGTTGAGAGATCGTCGCTTTAGGGCTTCAAGGTTTCAGGGTTAAGGTGGGTCAGGGTTTTTAACCTAAACCCTAAAACGTAAACCCCTAAACCCCTAAACCCTAAACCCAATAAGGCTTGAGGGTTCAAGGTTCAGGATACAAGCTTTACACGGCTTAGGGTAATCGACCCAGGATCTTTAGCTTAGGGGTCTCCAGTGTTGGGTGTAAGTGTACACGTCAACAAGGTTCCTTGGGATGTTGTAAGCAACTTGTAAGCCCAACTAATGGGCTTTTGTAATCACGATTGAGATAATGTAGAGATCGGAATAACTAATTATTAAGAACTATCACTATGCCCCTGTAGTTACATTGACATAATACCGTACCAGAAACTACCCCCGAACCCTATCCTAATTTGTGAAGGCCCTTGTAGTACTTCTGAACGTGCCGAGAATTTCGAGTGACCCTTCAAACAGAGTCTTGGGCTTGGGTTCAAGACTGCTTTAAGGCTGACGGATTTACGGCGTACGGTTCAGGGGCTAGGACCTCTATGCTACAAGTAGCACAGATGTGTTTCGTGTGTCGTCCTAGTAGCGCACAACAGCTGCCGCCATCAGCGTCTTGACACAGACAGAGAAGCAGCATTTTTCTTTTTCTACACATTCTTCAGCTGATCCTGCACGAGACTACTGTCACCACCACGCTCAAAATCACCCCAAGTCACGATGGATCCATCATCGGCGATGGCAGCAAAAGCACCGATAGAGGCCTGGATCTGCTGCACGTTCTTCAGGTGATCCTGAACCGCTCTGCTGTCACCACCTGCGCGAGCATCACCCCAAGTGGCGACGGATCCATCACCAAGAATGGCAGCAAAAGCACCTCTTGTGGCTTGGATCTGCTGCACATTCCTCAGCTGATCCTTCACGGCACTGATATCACCGCCATAATCAGCTTCGCCCCAGGTCACGACGAATCCATCGGCAAGAACTGCAGCAAAAGCGCCGGCAGTAGCCTGGATTCGCTGCACAGCCTGCAGCTGATCCTGAACAGCACCACTGTAGCCACCACGGTAAGGATCACCCCAGGTCACCACCTAGGATACCCAGTAACCTAAGAATAAAAAAGCCTTTTTTTTTGGTATTGGGTAACTTTATAAGGAACCTAGGACTACAAAAAGGGAATAAGGGTACTACTGGAGATCCTAGCCACAGATCCGTCTCCAAGGATGGCCGCGAAAGCGGCGTGAGCGGCTTGCACATGTCGCACATGCACCAGCTGATTCTGCACAGCACTGCTGTCACCACCAAAGTGATCATCGCCCCAGGTCACGACGGATCCATCAACAAGAACTGCGACGAAAGCGAGGGAAGAGGCCTGGATGTGCTGGACATCCTTCAACTGATCCTGCACAGCACTGCTGTCACCTCCATAATGAGAAACACCCCAGGCCAGCACAGACCCATCTTTGAGAACAGCAGCAAACGCGTGTTCAGTAGCTCGGATCTCCCGCACATTCTTCAGCTGATCCTGCACGGCGCCGCTGTCCCCACCACATACAGCATCACCCCAGGTCACCACGGAGCCATCGTCAAGAATGGCAGCAAAAGCTCCGGTAGAGGCGTGGATCTGCCGCACAGTCTTCAACCGGTCCTGCATAGAAGAACAGTCGCCGCCGTAGAAAGCATGTCCCCAGGTCACCACGGCTCCGTCGCCAAGAATGGCAGCAAAAGCACCTGTAGAGGCCTGGATTTGCTCCACTTTCTTCAGATGAGCCCGCGCAGCACTGCTGTCACCACCAAAGTGAGCATGACCCCATGTGACGACGGATCCATCGCCAAGAATGGCAGCAAAAGCGCCGGAAGAGGCTTGGATTTGCTGCACATTCTTCAGCTGATCCTGCACAGAACTGCTGTCACCACCTGCGTCGATGCTACCCCAGGTCGCGACCGATCCGTCGCCAAGAAGGGCAGCGAAAGCAGAGCCTCTCTTAGAGGCTGAAACTTGGACCCGATTCATGTGTAATGTTAATGGCTGACCATTCTGTAGCCTTGCCTTCTTGATTGGAGCACATACATCAAGAAGGTTGCCAGAAGAGTCCAAAAGTCGCCCTTTCCCGACACCAAGGGCCTGCTGTGCTCGACATTTCAAGGTTTGCACCTGTTCATCCGCGCTTGCGTGCACCTCAACTGTCCTGCCACTCAGCAGTCCAACTTTCACAGCAATCGACATGAAGTCGAAAACAGCGACCTCGGGTCCCTAAGACCCACACCCTCAAACCTGCATGCCCGAAGACCATGAACTCAAAAGCACCCCTAAAACCCCAAACCCCCAAAGCCCTAAAGATATGGAACTTAAAAGAACCCCAAACCCAAACCCTGACCTCTAAGGTTCTGAAACCCCTAAACCCTACCTTCTTACAGGATATCCGAAATGAAACCCTCGAAGCCAAGGCCCTCAGTTCGCTGACCCTGGCTTCATGGAGCCCAAAGGCCGAGCAAAGACGAATTTCGGAATGACAGGAATAACAACAGCAAGAAAAAAACAACAAAAATAATAAAAGTAAAACTAGAATCATTAATACCACTAACCATAGCACAAGTAATAATCGTGAAAAAAATGTTGCAAGGAGGTTCCCGGATGACCGCAGGTATCAGCTAATAAAGCTCTCATGGTCCTCAGTCGAGGGCATTTGGGGGGCGGGTATAATAGAGGGTAGGCGGGGGGGGGGGGGGGGGTCTAGGTTTAGGGCCTTTCACAGGTGCAGGAATCAGGGTTTCGAGGTTTCGGGGTTCGCCCGTGCACCTTTGTAAAAGGGGACTAGGTCATGTGACTTAGTAAGTACAGCTAAAAGTATCTGGACTGGGACTGGTGGTTGTAATGATACATAAGTATACTTGCTTTAGTTAGAACCCAAGTTGCGTAGCTCCTGCAGCGTAAATCTGTGAAATGCTGGTTCAGGTTTCTTGCGCTGTCGGGAATATGATTGAGTTTTGGGTTTGGGTGCAGGAAACCTTAGCCCCTAAACCTTGCACCCGGAGAAGCCAAACCCACAAACCGACCCATGATACACGGGCCTTACAGGGTCCATGGACCTATCTAGTATATGTCAAGCCCCTTTGGGGTCAAAGTAAAAACAAATACATACAGCAGACGCCAGAAAGTTAGAACATCATTATCCTCATGCCCTTATTGTAAAGTAGATGGAACCCGAAATTCATGTTCCACCTTTCTGGGGTTCAATATAGGTATATACATATGATAAGGTGAAGTCCAAACTGCGATGCTCTTTCGAAGTGCGGCTCCTCTTCAAGACGCTTGGCCTCAGCCTCCCGTCGTTGTCGCGCCTCCTCCTTCAGCTTGTGGTTCGAAAGGCTTTTTGAAGTAGGAGCTGCATTCGATTGTGCTTCACCTTAAACCCTAAACACCCCAAACAACCCATGCGGCCCAATTCTGGCCTCGGGATGCCGACGATTCATGTGGGCATATGGGTCTCGGCATTTGCTGGTCATGTTTCCGTATACTTGTTGTGCAATGCACAATGCAAGGCTGGCTCTGACATTCCAAAATTCCTTATTGAAGCAGTACGTATACCTTCAGTCATACTAGGATCCTATTATAATTTCAAAGCTATATTCCTTAACTGAATGATTTTGGAAAGCCTGGGATCTTAACGATAATCACTATCCCAGCGGGTTCATGGAAATAGGTCCCCAACACCATAATGGGATTCATCCACATGCACAGGTTCTGTCACCCCTGCAGGATCAATCCCGAAGGTGTCAAACACGCAACCCAAAATCACAGGGCCCGACGTAGGTCCTGTAGAACATATAACTTGAGAATCTGGAGTGTTTTAGGATACGAGTTTTAAGGGTGCAGGCTGGTGCTATGCTGAAAAAGCTGCAGGCAAGAGGAAATCCACGTAGCAAACAAACATGTCCCCAACCAGGACCTTAAGCAGGATATGGTTGGTATTTTCAAGTGCAAGAACCGACTTTTCAGGTGCAAGGGCCGACTTAAACCGGTGATCGTTCTACTTACACACTCAAAAACAGTCGTGGGCCCAAAACCTGGGTACACGAACGCGACACCCTGAAGTGCCATGCCAACTGGCGAAGGTTTCGGTACCGCCTGTCCAGTCTGATTTCCGCAAAGCAGGAAAAGACCCACAAAGAAGCAGTGAACACATTGCAGAATTTAAATCTCGACGAAAATCCGTGCTGTCGTGCTTCGAACCTTACTTTGACATCACGTCTGAGGGTCAGGTCTAGAGCATACAAAACGAGACATCTATATCAACACTCGCACCAGCAGTTCAAAAACCCCAATTGTTTGCCTCCAAAGCCCAAAATTGAATCCTGAAGCGCGGGACCATGCGCCAGAAAACTCAAACAACAAACGGCCTAAGGCCCCCCGCTGAACCCACCTCCTTGCTCACTCCTCCAACTCAACCAAAACACGAAAACGTTATACCCAAATCGTCAACATCTCTCCTCCTCGCGGCGTTTCTTCGCTTCAGCTTCAGCTTCTCGACGCTGCTTCGCCTCCTCCTGGTTTAACATTTTCCCCTGGATAGGAGGTCCTACACAACAGCCACCCTAAGGCTCCATGTCATAAGCCTTTAAACGGACTCTGGCTTTTTTTGGGGGGCAGCTCTTCAGGTTTTGAAACGTAACCCTAAACCCTAAACCCTCACGTCTTAAACTCCTAAACCTCCTGACCCCCAAAACCCTAGACCCCCGACTTCCGAGCGTTTAACTGCCCGCTCCTCCTCGCGACGTCGCTTCGCCTCGGCTTCGGCTTCCTGTCTTTGCCGCGCCTCCTCCTGGCGCCGGCTTCGGGTTTCAAGGTTTAGGGTTGAGGGTTCAAGGTTTGAGGGTTTGACGGTTTGGGGTTCATGGATTGAATGTTTAAGGTTGTCAAACAAGCTCCTTGCCCGTTCAAGGAGTCCCGTTAAGGATTCGTTTCGGGAGTGTTCAAAGGGTTCTTGTAATTAAGGCTCCGTTTATGGCCGCTTGAAGGGGGTTAAGCGTTCGGGCTTTCGGGGTTCCTGTAGGGCTTGTTTGTTTTATTTTGTTTTCAATAGAGGCTGATAAGTTTGGGATCTTGCGTTTTGCTTTGTGGGGTCCATGCACCAAAGACGTATATACCAAGGCCCTGAAGCTGTTCCTGTGTTGATACTTTATGGTCATAATGTAAATACTATTTGGGCACAGGGACTCTCGGTGATCCCATAGGAACTCTACTAACTTAAAAGAGCGAGCCCGACACCCTAAAATCAAACCATGGGCCTGCATGGCTGTAGCTAGGGCCGAAGGTTCTCAAGTGGGCCGATTTGAAAGGGAGGTCGTAAAATTACAATAGGGTGTTGGTGAGCTTTGATATGTACATAACACGGAGCCCCCCGAAACAGTGTTGGCACTTGTTTCTTTCTCCACATTACCTTTGGGAAACTGTTGCGGTGCTCTTGATAAATGTATCCGGGTTTGGGATGGAACCTATTACCAGCAAAACCGAAAGATGTGTGGGAAATCTGCGTGGTATGAGTCGCGTGCTATGGAATGCCGAACGACTTTCGATCGGCATCGGGGTTGAAACCCGCTGGCGCAAACTCTGAAATCACATGTCTTCTGCAGCCAGAGCTTCTTCATCATTATTCCTTACAGAGTCCGAACGGTTCTGAACAGACGAAGAGAGTGGAGGTTCGCAGAAAGCAACATATACACTTTTAAAATTTTGTGAATCTTGAGCCCGTTTCTAGATTCTGCGCGATATTGAAGAAGATGTCGCTGCTACGGTAGACGATGGGTCCTCACCTGAGTCGCTGCAGCCGCTGCATAACACGGCACAAAAGTCTGGACCCGAATTGAAAATGTAGACGGATAGTCTAGCAAGGAAAACAAGAAGGCTTGATAAGGCAAGATTGCATCCATCCGGACAAAAACCAATCCGACGAGGCCACTCGGTGGGTGTTGATGGCACCGGAGGTCCAGTAGGGTCGATTGCATACTCCAAGATCAAGGTAGCTATCTCTGCTGGCACTTTCCCCACAAAAGAAGCTGACCTGCTGCAAGCAGTGGCCGGTATGACTAGCTGATCCAGTATGCTGCGGAAGACCGCAATGTGTTGGGACATGTTTCTTCACTTCGCGGACTTCCTGTACACGAGTTTCGAAGCAACCGCTAGGAATAGGATCTGCATGGGTCTGAGGTAGGGCGCAGCTCGTACGACAATCATGAGCTTACCAGGCCCGCCGTTGTCGCTCTTTTTGATACGCAAGCACATGAATCGAAACGTTGTGTGCGAAAGAAATGCAGATATCAGTCTTGTGGCGTCCGTTGTATAGTACCTGTAATGCCCGCTACATAGCACTGAGTAGTATGATGTGCAAGCTTACTTGTGCGACGTCAAAATCATCAGTGTGGCTGCTTCTGAAAGACATCTCAATGGAAAAGTCGCATTGCGCAGATCGAAGCTAAGTCTCCGAGACTTTTTTCCCACAACACAGCCTAGTTTGATAGACAGCAATTCTGTCATCCAAGCACCGCCAAAGACGATCAATGACCTGCGGCCCGCATTTCACGCTGATGATGCGCTTGGTGTGCGGTATCATGTACTTAACGAGTTTGACATAGTGTCGCTGCTGCCAAAGATACTTGCCATCCACCTTCACCTTCTTCTTGGCATGAACCATGCGTTCATGCCTTACTCGACCAATTTTCATCTCTCACGACTTTGCTCAATCAGTGTGGAGAGCGTCCCGCTGTGTGCGGATTTTGGCAGACAGTGCAAACTGCGTCATCTCTTTCAAGCTATGGCCTTGACTTGACGGAAGCCGGGAACAACAGTGTTCCTGTGCACTGTGCACAGCTTGGAAACGTGGGTTACAGAGACCTTACCTCGGAAGTGGGGAATCTTCACGGCGCTCTCTGCCCCGTCCTCCAGGTTCTGAATGACTGCACCATTTTCGCGCTTGGAGGAAGCTTGCCAGCGAGACATATCATCAAGTTCACCTTCTTGCATGAGCTCGCCGACGCAGGCAAGCCCACAAAACTCGGATACGTTGAAATGGACCTCGAAGAGGATTGTTGTGCTGTTCGCATCTGCGGCAAACAGCTTGGGGGAATGGTTCGATCGTGATCGGCGCGGCAATCTCGGAGATGGGCATGTGACCGACCTGGCGCAAAAACAAAGCCTCGTAATAACACTCCTTCCCAGCGACCTCTTCCATGACATTGTCCATGAGACTTTCCATGATTGAGATGGCACGATCAACGAGGCTAGAAGGTTGGCTGGTTGGTGACTAATTAAGCACCCTGGAAGCAGCGCGCGGCATCACGACGTGCGTCGGCTTGGAGAACACATTTACCGTCGCTGTTATTGTCCTCGCTTTCGTCGGCGTCGTTGTCATCCTTTTACTACTAGCAGAACTAGTACCAGAGCTAGCGCAAGTACCAGTACTAGTAGTAGAATAGTACTAGTACTCGTAGCCACAATTTGCCAGTGCATGCCCACTGCAACAACGCAATGCCGACGGAGCCGGCCTTTTTTTCCACTTTGCTCGGCTTTCCAGCGCAGAACATTAAAACCTCAGCCTCCAGCCGGAGTAGAGCACGGTGAAATCTACCGTAAGCCAAGCCTGCGGAGCAAAGCCATGCTGGGAAAACATCATGGCCGACCATGCCTGCCCATATTTGTGCAGTCAGTCTTGACCCGGTGAACCAAGTCATTGCAAATGCGTTGCTTCTTGGGGTTGTTCCCAGAAATACCAAAAAAGATTCCGCATGGATTCCCATGCATCATGCTAATCGCCTCCACAAGAGACGGTGTTGGTGCTCATAACAATGCTTCGTTTCGAAGCGGATCTAAGTAAAACATCAAGTTACAATTGTAGCACCGGGCAAGCCTCCAAAAGGCCTGCAATTGCAGTACAGTGGTAAGTTGTAAACCTCAAAGATAAGCCTCAAAGAGGGCTGTAGCTGCGCTGCAGAAAAATGAACAGTTGCAAGCTACTAAGTAGGCTGTAGTTGCAGTACAGTGGTAAGCTGTACGCCATTAAGATGGCTGTAGTTACAGTACGGTGGTAAGCTGTAAGCCTTTACGAGGGCTGTAGTTGCAGTACAGTGGTAAGTTGTGAACCTCTAAGAGGGCTGTAGCTGCAGTCAAGTAGCAAAATTCAAGCCATTACCAAGCCTGTAGCTCCAGGTAAGTAGTACGTAAGATTTAAGCCATTACTAAGCTTGTAGCTCCAGTAAAGTAGTAAGTTTAGGGCTCTACTAAGCCTGTAGCTGCAGCTCCAGTAAAATAGTACGTCTTACACCTCTACATGGGTTGTAGCGACAGCAAGGCAGGAATTTCAGGCCTCTACGGATGCTGTAGCTCCAATAGTAACCTTCATGCCTGTACTAAGCCTGCAACGCTGTATCTCCAGCAAAGTAGTATATAAGTCTTGGGCCAATGTAGTCTTGCAAAAGGCAGAATGCTCAGACCAAAAAACGACAGGATAAGTTAGGGGACATTTTTATCCGTTCAATCTAGAGGTTTCCCTGGATTTCCTGGAATGGCCCATACTAATCAAGAGCATGGGTTAGGCACTTTAGCCCTGGACCCCAAACTCACCACTCCTCCCTCTCAGCAAACAAGACGACAAACGCCCAGGCTGAGAGAAAGAAACCGTCCCACCGTCTGCCTCAGCCTGTCGCTTCTTTCGAGCCTCTTCCTCACGCACCCTCGGCTCGGGGTTGCATTTCTTATCTTCGCAGGATAGGTATCCACCAACTCTCACAAATCCTAAACCATTAGGCTGGGTTACGGAGTTCTGGGGTTTTGTACTTTGGGTGGGACTTGAGATTCTGGACCCTTCTCAAAGCTTGACGCCGGAATTTTGAGTTTTGGGACATGGGATTCCGGGCTGCTGAGCTTGTGGTCTCAGAGCAAGACATCTAGGCTTTTGAAGTTTGGATTTGGAGTTAGAGCCTAGAGTCTAGAGTATGCTTTCGGAACAGACAGTCTTTCCAAATTGTGGATGTGTTTAGGGCTGGGTGGCACGTTCAATCCGTCTCAATGCAGTTAGATGCTGCTTTGCGGTGGAATGCTTGCGAAATTTAAATTTAAACCCACAACCCTACACCCCTAAACCCTAAACGCCCTAAAACCTAAACCCTAAACCGTCGCTGCGTTAACTCGAGGGTGCTTTGGGGGCCTGTTCGCTGCAGGGCCCAGCATCGAAGGCTCTTTTTGTGCGACAGACCTGGAAATCTTGAATCCTGAAGCCCTCGAAACTTTGCACGAACAACCCGAAAACTTCCAACCCTGAATCACTGAACCCCAGACTTGAACCCTAAACTAAAACCCTAAACCCTTTAAGCCAAAAAACCTTTATCTAAGCCACGCCCCCATCCAGGCTCTGAGGTTGCGAGCTAAGAGTTACCAGCCTTCGTCCTTGTCGACCCCTCACTAGAAGAAAAATCTCTTCTACAAGGACACGGGTTGGGGTTTAGGGGAAAACGATCATCATGTTATAAAGCTTAGGCTCTGATCTCATCGACCTGTTGTTTGTATTACCCAGCTCCTTGATTTACGAATCGCGCTCATCGACTGAGAGGTGTTGTCAGCTAAAGGCTGTAGACTGGATCTCTAGATTTCTGATAGGGTGTACGGCTGAGGGGTGGTTGCAGCACAAGTATGCATGCCTCCACCTACTTGGTGAAGGTTTATCTCCCTTTGTGTGGGCCGGGGAAAGGATCAAACCACCAAGCTGTAAAACCGAAAACCCTAAACCCTAGTCCGCACTGCCCAATTTGGAAGCCCACAGCCCTGACTTTCAGCACCTCGAAACCCCCAACCCGAATCGCTTGCGGCATACACAACCACTCCGAACAGCCCGAAATAGGTCCTGTCTGTCGGTTTGAGGCCCCAAGTACTACTTGTATCCATAGGGGATGCAGATCATACTGAACCAGATTGCTTCTCCACCTAGAACCCTAAACCCTAAACCCTAAAAACCTAAACCCTAAACCCTAGACCCTGAATGGCACGATCCAGATTGCAAGGACCGTTGAAGCGAAGAGCCTGCTGGCTTCGGCTTCTTCTGCTTCCTTTCGCCTTCGGGCCTCTGCCTCTTCCTCTGCGTGGGGGGGGGGGGGGGGGGGGGGGGGGGGGGGAGGCGGTTGGGCGCTGAGGCTCATGGCTAAATATTTTAGGGTTTTAGGGTTCAGGTTTTTAGGGGTTAGGCAGAGTAAAAAGGTTCTCAGGGGCACGGCGTTAGGGTTTAAGGTTCGGGGTTGCTTGGGGTAGTTGCTTAGGCTTCAGAGGGCTTACTACTGCATGGAATTTGTTACGTAAGGTTTTTGTCGGGGTTTATGGGTTTGCGTTCGATCTTGCCAGGGTTTTCCGAGTTCCTATGGGGTCTTCTTGGGGTTTCCTGGGGATCCGAAACCCTACCGTTAAGGGGTTAGACCCTATAATTCAGAGGTCATAACCTACTGTTTTGTAGGGTTTGGGGATAGAGGTTGCTATTGGGATTTGTTTGGCTCCGGGTGCATAGGACTTGGAGGGTTTTGGGCTTGGAATTGGCGAGATACGGAATTTTGCTTATGGGACTCTGGTTGTTTTAGGGTTTGGGGTTTAGGGTTTAGGGTTTAGGGTATTAGCTGTTAGAGTTTTGTTTGCTAATCACATGAAGATGAACAAACACCTCAGCAAACCAAAACTTATTCAGAGTCACATGCGTGTTGATATGCATATGTAGATATGTGCAGGTATGTGAGGGCGTGCATGTGCATGCATAGCTGTGTTCCAGCTTTTGGTCATGTCCCTACTCTTTTATCTGAAGACCCTTCGGTCCATGTGTCTCTTCACATCTGCGCTCATTCGTTCACCTTGATACATACATACGTACATACATACATACATGCAAAATCCAGTCATTCATTCCCCCATCCATCCATCTATCCATCCATCTGTCCATCCACCCACCCCCCGACCCAGCCAGCCAGCCAGCCATCCGTCCATGCGTCGCTGCATGTGTACGCACATGCACACATACACACCTGGACTCGTACAAACGTACGTACATACATACAACCATGCATACATACATTGGCACAGACAGGCTGACTGCCTGACGGACTGGCACACGGACAGGCAGACAGGCATTTAGCCAATTATGTGTGCGTGCATTATATATATATATATATATATATATATACATATACACACACCATGTACACACGTGTGCATAGGTAGAGACATATATGTATATCTGTGTATATGTGCGTATACTCATCGCAGACGACCGAGACGAACCCCATGAAAGCCCGTAGCCCAAATGCCCTAATCTCCACATCCGGAGCTCTACAAATCCTGCAATCTAAACCCTCCCTAAGGCCCTAAGGCTCCATCTACCCATATAGTATATACTTAAGCCTTGAAGTACCTGCATAGGGACCCCGTTTAAGGCCTAAGTGTTTCCGAATGTAGGGGGCCCTGATATAGTACCCCAAATTGTAGGATCCTTATTATAAGCACCCCAAAATAGTGTACCCCTAATTTTCGGAAACTCTAATATGGGTACATGGAGCCTTAGGGCCTGAACACAAACCACAAGCCTCCGCAAGCCGGCGGGCTGCCTCAGCCTCTTCCTGGAGCCTAGCATCCTTTTCACAGGGGTGACATTTTCGTGGTTGTTAAAATTATGGCCCCTTTTCTATACTGAACCTAGAACCCAGCAACAATCTAATTTTAGCTGTTTCTTAGGGATTATAATAACAAAAAATAAAATTATTTCTTAATACCCCTAAGTTTTTGGGTACCCGAGATATTAGGTGCCGTACTATGATAAGGACACAAAATGACAACCACCCATTTTGGGGCTGGAGGGCACGGAAGCTCCAAAATCCTGCAATTAGGATGATACACCTGCGGCCTAAGGAATGGAGGAAGCCTTGCTATGACTTCAGGTACGTATCTTCCTTACCCCAGAGACTGCATCATAGCTTTCGGGCTTACTATATTGACCCCAGGTGGGAGATGTTAGGCTGATGTTAGGACTTCCCATGAAGGTTTAGGGTTTAGGGTTTAGGGTTTGACGGCCATAGATTCATACTTTGCATGCGCCTGACTCTTGAGAGATGCCCTCAAGATACTTGGGCTTAGTTGTTCGTCGCAGTCGCGGTTGTTGTCGTAGTAGTGGTTCAGCCATCCCCTCTGTTAGACATTTCCAATCCACTGCTCGAAAGCTTGTTAGTTCTCCATAGTCCTGAGATTGGGTGAGCGGTCTGTTTGAGCATTTACCGAGCACCAGCTGTGGTGCTGAATACCCATCACTTGTGGGAAATCGGACGTCCCGAAAGAAACTCTAAAAGCGTGCAAACCGTCTATAATAACTAAAAGTAAGCTGCTTAGCACTAAAGCCCTACAACAACCTCTGTATAACAACAAAATGACCATATACACAGCAACTTTAACAACATCCCTAAACTCAATACCCTAAACCACTAAACACCTGAAGCATGAACTCTAGACAAAAAATCTTGAACCCGAAACCCTTAAAAGGTTTAATTAAACCCTAATCTCTACACCTTACACCCCCCAAACCGAAAGCAGCAGAACGGGAGTCCTCAGCGGCCTGCTCGCGGGCACGCTTCGCCTGAGGCGTACGCAAAGTGCTTCCGGATTTCAAGGTTTTTTTTGTTTAGCACCTTTTGGCGACTGCTGACGTCCTTGCCACCTGTCGGACTTCAAGGTTTAGGTTTTAGGGTTGAGGCCAGATCTTCCCATATGCCTTAGTTGCATATACCCTAGATTATACTGGGATCCCTGATAAGGTTTAAGGTGCATTCCCTTATAATTACCTTAAGGGCTCTTAAAGGTTCCTAGAAGGGATCTATAGGAATTAGAGTTTGGGGTTCAGGGTTTAGTTTGGCGGTACCCAGATCTTCCAATACTGCTTACTGAAATTAAGGCATACCTCTAGCCGAAAAGACCGACCTCTTTTGGGCTCCTTACTACTTGGAGGATCATGGGACTCAGTAAGTAAGGTTATAGGTACCTTCAATAGGGTTATAAGTGATCATAAGTATGGTTACATTATTTATAACCCTAGTTACTCAGTCCCATGATCCTTTAAGTACGGCTTCTACGAGTAATCCCCTAACAAGGTAGGTCTTTTGGGGCCACAGGTATATTCTAAATTGGTTCCAGGCAAACCAGGTTCACCCTAGATTATAGTGGGATCCATGATATGATGAAAGATAGATCCCCTTAAACAAAAAGTGCAATTGGAAGCTCTTGCTGGCAATAGCCCTGAGGTTTATGTCTTGATGTGGTCTACACGTGTACAGGATTTGAAGGGCTTCATATGTCTAAGGATTTACTGGTATCTGGACTTGAGAGATTGTCTTCATGGTTCTATAAGTTAGTGAGGGCTCGATGAGGAAGAGGTTCTATATGACTGATGGTATTAGAAGCTCTGATGCACGGTAACTCTCCAGGGATAGCGTCACTAGGCTGCAGGGCAAGAGGCGTCTGTATACACTTCTTGCCGTCGCGAATGTTACTCCCTGAATTCGACTGCTCGCTGGCGTGTGAATATGCTTCATGAGTCTCTTTTCCGCACGAATCTTTTCGCTAGAGCCATCCGTCTTCTTCTCGGCGACTGCGCTGCAGACTAGAAACACCTAGAAGCAATGGTAACCTTGTTGACTGCGGTGGGTCATTGATTGTCTTTGGGCCCTCTTTCCAATCCTATGCAGGTATAGTCGAGAAAGCCTGAGTACTATTCGAGGCCTGACGAATCAGAATAGGCACCTACATCTGGACCATAAGCGATATGTCTACTAGCTCATGAACCCTACTGTTGACGAGCTACATGGAAACAAAACCCTAAACCCTAAACCCCTCAACCCCTAAACTCTAAACCCTAAACCCTAATGGCTTCGGCCTGTTCTGCTTGTCGTTTTGCAGCTTCCTCCTCGAGGCGTCGCATCTCCTCTCGCCTCGGCTTCACTTGGAAGGGCAGGGGACTTAGTAAGTAGGTTATAAGTATAGGGTTATAATTGGGGTAACTCTATTTCGGGTACTCATAACTCTACTTCTAAACCTACTTACTACCTGTGACTCCAAACCCTACTAAATAGTAGGTTATGACCCCTTAATTAGAGGGTCTGACCCTTAAAACGGTAGGTTTTTGGATCCCCAGGTAAGTCCCCTGCCCTTCCAAGCACAGTCTGCTCAACCCGCTGGTCTCACTTCCAGTTTTGTTGTTGTTCCGCTTTCTTGTCATGTATACACGGTGCATGTCGTTACAGAATATATAATCAGTACAAATAAATAAATATACAGATATATGATCAGGGTTGTTCTATATCCTTGTTCCACGCATGCCAATTAGGATCCCTTGCGCTTCGCCCTTGCGCGTCCCTTGGGCGGGCTTGCGCGCGCGAGGGTTTCTTAAGACTATATAGGGTTTGTTACTGTGGCTTGTTGGCGCTTGGTGGCTTCCAGTCGAAGCTTCGGCTGCGGGTACAACATGGTACAAGAATGGAGCTTCAAGGCTCAAGAAGTTGTGCTGGGTCCTCCATGGCTTTGGGCAGGCGACCTTGCGCGCCGTCTTGCACGCGCTTGCGCCGATCTTGCGCGGAGGATGCCGTGTCAGAACCTAGTTTTGAACAGTTCGCGACTCTGCTACCGCGGCTTGCAGAACCCAAAGGCTCCAAGATTGAAAAAAATCAATCGCAGTTGATTTTTTCAAGCGCCGATTGAAGATTGAAAAAAATCAAGCGTAGATTGATTTTTTCAACATTTTCGGTTCGCAGAAGAAATCTTGTAGATAAAGTAAAAATCAATATATTTTTCGATAGGGTTTTTCTGAGTTTCGTAAAAAATCAATAGAGGTTTCTTAAAAATCAATAGAGAATCTGATCGGGATTCAGCACCAAAATACAAAATCAATAGAGAGACGAGTGGGCCGAACAAGCAAAAACCAAGAATCGTATCATGTCGATCTGACAAGCAGACACGATTTGCTGTGTAGATTCTAGGTAACCAATTTATTCGAGCAAAGCACAGATAACAAGGTTATAGCTTTAATAAGTTTTCATGTTTGGATAGACAGTTTGGGGTTGTGTCTGAACAGACACAAATAACTATAGTTTTCATAAGGTTTCATGTCTGGACAGACAGTTTTGCTTTTGAAAAAGCGTGTTATAGATTTAAGTGTCATGTCTGGACAGACAGTTTTCATTTCGGGTCGTGTCTGGACAGACAGAAATTAAAGTTTAGCTATAGTTTTGAGTTTCATGTCTGGACAGACAGTTTTCCTTTCGGGTCGTGTCTGGACAGACAGAAATTAAGTAAGCTATAGTTTTGGGTTTCATGTCTGGACAGACAGTTTCTCTTTCGGGTCGTGTCTGGACAGACAGAAAAAGTAAGTTATATTTTTGGGTTTCATGTCTGGACAGACAGTTTTGCTTTCGGTTTGTGTCTGGACAAGCAGCAAGTTGCTACAACTAAATACGGCATATGTCTGGACAGACAGTTTTGAGGCTGTGTTTGGACAGAGTCTGCAAGACTACCTGCAAGACTACAGCTGCTAGTCGGTACAGCTTGCCTGTCCAGGCATACCTACCACAAGTTTGCCTGTCCAAGCATTATGAATACCATCCCTTGCCCATCCGGGCATTGTTGCCTGTCCAGGCATTACCCAGTGGTGCCTTCCCAGGCATTACCCAGTCTTGCCTTCCCAGGCACTACAACTGCCCATGCAACCTTGCAGCTGAAACCCGTTTTTTCACTCATCATCTCCCAAATCCATCCATCCTTTCAGGATAAGATGATGAGCCAAGGCGAACTTGCTGCACACTTTCAAAGGCACCTGCCAAGCAGCCGTTCCTCTGTCGCAGCTTGCAGCGATCCTCTTCACGATCGACATGAAGCTCTCGGGACCGTATGTCCAACATGTACGGGGTGTAGACCACTTGCACTGCTCTGCGAAGTGGGCCAGCAAATGATGCTTTTGCACTATGGAGTATCGTGTCAAGCTCTTCCGAAAAGAATGCTTTGCCAAAAAACCGTAGTGCACCAAGAAGGTTTGAATGGCGTTCTGGAACTTCTTCTGGTTGCCAGTGCTCCAGACCCATTCCGGTGTGTCGCACAGATCATACATAAATTGCATGGCTTTGCATGCCTCGTATCTGTGTTTTCCAGCATCCGTTCTCGTGTACTTCGCAGCAAGCGAAACCTTCGCAACTCAGTGGCCGTTTACTGCAGTTTTAATTCTAGGTATGGGCCTGACACCGAAAAAGCGCCAACAGGTTACAGGTTCAAACAAGAAGCTGCCACATCAGCGAAAGCTCGGACTTTCCTGCCCTTCACATGCAAAAGGCACGGGAAGTCAGAGGTCCCGTACAGGTTGCTCTTCACGATCTTGGGAATTCTGCGTGAGGCAGGTATGTCCAGCTCCACGTATGTTTGCATGATCCTTGATCTTAAGACTCAGGCCAACACATGTCAAACTGTCAAACAGTATCAACTACAAAACTGGTGCAATCGAAACATTTCCAAACTCTTGCCCGGAAGCAGGGAGTTCAAGGCAGCAAGCTTTGCCGGCAGCGTTCCACGGAGCTCGTCTTGCAACAAATCATTCAGTAGGTTGCCAAACAAGTGTGCCTCGGATGCATACAGGCATGCTGCGACTGGGCAAGATGACTAGAAGTGGCTCTCCAGCCATTCCGTAGAAGTGGCTCTCCAGCCATTCCGTCATGCAACCGTGCAAATCTTATCATTACCTGTTTGATTTGACAAGAAGCACTGCAGCCCAAGTCCACCATGTGAAGCAAGTCCAGCTTTAGGGACCAACAGTTAACAGCCGGTACAGAGAAAAGCTGGTGGCCATTGTTCGGCGGAGTACAGAGCAAACCCCTCCAAGCTGCAGTTGGTCTAAAGTCGTTGAAAGGTGCAACTTTCTTGTCCTCGTCAAAAAAGTTGTCTGCCTTGCAGTAAGGGCAGGGGTAGTTGGAAGTCCCGGTAGGCCACCCAAACTCTGCAGCGAAAAACTCCAAGTCGCCCGCAACCGCCATAACGACTGCCCGCCTCAGCGGCCGACTCCGGTCCGGGTGGCGGCCGTTCGCCAGTGCAGTCAGGCTGGCAGTTATAGCATCCCAGATGGGTTTCCAACTGGAGCCAGTAGTTGCCTCTTTTGGAAGGCATGCAAGCAGTAGCTCGGAATTTTTCACGGCCTTGTCACTGATGACACATCTCATGCTCACCACCAGCATGCTGTCTGTGCCTGAAAAGCTAGCATGGTCTCCATGCAGCAACAGCGGTATCGGGAGCTCCTTCTGCACATCAAAACCCTTCCAAAAGGTCGCCGCCTTCTTCAGCTGAGGGTTCTTCTTGAAATCTTGCTCTGACCAATACTTCTTCAAATCTGCAACATTGGCCGTAATGCTTTCCAGCATACCATGCATGTCCAGGCACTCGAACCAAAGGTGAGGTAACCTCGGGCATATGGAGATATCGACCAAAACCCCAAGCAGCAGCAGATGTTCTGCTGAAAGTTTACAGTAGAAGCCCAAAAGTTGGAAACCCAATAGCCTCAATCCTAAAGAGCAATGCAAAAGGGAACCCCAGCACTATTTGGCCTTAATCCGGTTTCCAACTTTATGGGGTTTAACTTTAACATATGGCCGATAGAACATCGCAAACTCAAAAGCTCTTGCTCTATACTCTGAGCGGCAGCACGGGGACCTCCTTCTGGAGAACTTTCCTCTCCCCAGTGGTCAAATCCCTCACAGAAACCGGGCACTCCACCATCGTCGGGCTCGGGGCTTTGACATCCTGGAAAAACTGCTTCATCAAATCTCGGTGGCAGTTCTGGCTGGAATTCCCATATGACCCAATTGCAGCTAGGTCGTTCAAGTCAGAGGCATTGGCACCTTAGCTGTAGGCAGTGTTTCCATCCGGCAAGAATTGGCAGGGCCCGGAAACTCGACCCAAAAAGTGAGGGGGCCTTGAGGCTCAACACCATCCTACTGCAAGCAAGGGGCCACTCTTCAAGGCGGCATGGGCCAAAGTCTGCACTTTGATAGCTGGTAGTTTCCCTTCTGCGAAATCTTGGAGCAGCATCAACCCCAATGGAGAAGGGGTCCTCTCATCGCTCCTCTTCCTTTTCATGTCTGCAAAGACTCTCCAGCCGTGCAAGGATCCATGTATGGCTCGCTCTCGACTTCAACTTGAGTTAAGAGTGTCTTGTTGAAGGATTTGAGTGTGGCTCTAAAAGTTAGCCTTAAGTTGATGTCGCCCTAGGGGTGTTGTGTGGAAGGACCTTTATGCCTTTGCCAATAGCATGCTGGCGTTCGACAATAATGCAGAAGCTCCCGAGCAACGGCGGCAATGATCCTTCAATGGTTCGTCATTCTACATTGAACCATGCATGCTTTACGAAGCTGTCCAGCCATTGGTGCGTGAAGTCGGCGGCTGTCCAGCCGATAGGCTTCAACCTTGCAACATTAAGGCTGCTTTGTCACTTGACTGTCCAGTCATCGTTTCCTGAAGTTGGCACCAACTCCTTGATTGAAAGCCAGCACCAAGTTGGGGCTCCAAAGGGTGGGTTTCTACAGGTTGGGGCTCCGAAGGGTGGGTTTCTGCCGGCGCTTACAAACCCCAGTTTTGCATGTGAAACAAGGGGATAGGTAGAGCTTCAGAGAAGTGGAAAAATTAGGGCGAACATAACTTGCGAGGCTGCTTTTGTCATGTCATGTGACTGTCAAATGAAACTGCTTCGTAAGTGGACTGTCCAGTCATTAACGAGTCATTGAAGTCTCATTTTTTCAGCCCGCCTTCGCGAAGTGCAATCGCTCTGGTGGCCACGGAAAACCTTTAAAAGCGTGCGGGTCGCCGGCCGGCCCTCAGGAAGCACTAACACCACCAGAGAAACCTGGAGAGATCAATTTACACCCTCGGAAAACACTCAAAAGCGTGATGGTCGCCGGCCGGT